ACATTAACTGGTGCCCTATATGAAGTCTGAAACCATGTAATTTTAGTGATGTCAGTCTAACCTGTTATGTGACTCTTCCTTCACAACCCTCAGTTACCCAGCTATAGAAGTTAAGCAGATTGTAGAATGAATCAACAAAGAGTTTCAGTTATAAAACGGCTTGAGTTAGATGACTCCAGGGCTTCCCTGGTGGCTCAATGGTTAAAGAATCCACCTGTAACGCAGGAAATACAGGTTGCATCCCTGGAAGATCCCCTGGAGGAGGAAATGGCAACCTGCTCCAGTATTCTTGCCTGAGAAATCCCACGGACAGAGGAGTCTGGCAGGCTACAGTCCTAGGGGTTGCAGAGTCAGACATGACTTAGCCACTCAGCATGCATACAGATGACTTCAAAATCTACACAGTTTCAAAAGTGTACACTTCTAAGAATCCTAAAGTTTTTAGTGCATGGTTCTTCTTATTTCAATTAAATGTACATATAGAAAAGTTACGATTTAACCACTTCACACCCTTTTTAAATCAAGCATCCTAAGGGCCTCTAATAGGTTATACATATACTAGGTCCTTGAACTCCCAGACCTCAAGGTGGCAGAGCTGGGCGTGAGGTCGCTAGAATCCTAATTTCTGTTGCCTCTGGATGGAAGCAGTCTGATCTGTTTTACAATAGGTAACACAAGTATTCATTTCCCAGGTACCCAGTAAGCTTGGAAAGCATTGTTCTAAGCCATAAAATTTGTGAAACCAGTTAGTTTCTGGTGATTAAAAAAAAAAAAAGTGAACAGGATGTGGTTTTGATCTGAGGAAGCTTGAGTCCAGTGCAGCGACAGAATTAAATAATGAAAACTGTAGTAACTGTCAGTAGTACAGAGAGCTGTAAGAGGATCTAATAAAAAAGATTAAAACAAGATAAAATTTGGAAGTCAATGAGAGTTACTTTAACAGGGTAATGAATGTTCAGCAGCTTTAAAGATACCAACAGCATTTGCTAGCAAGGTACAGAAACGTCCTGTTGTGCTCACTCTCAAGGAGTAAGCTGCGATATTCATCCCTTAAAGACCGGGAAAGAATGGGAAAATTACTTTTACATTTTATACCTATGATTTCCTAAATACAACTTTTTTTTTTTTAAAACTTAACTTTTTAAAGTTTATGATGTTATCCTCTGTCTTCCTCCCAGGTCTTATAAGTATTAAAGTATTTAACTAGTTTAAAAGATATTGTGATTCTAGTCTATTCTGTTTATTTCCTTCACCTTTATTTACAGAATTTCTAATACTAAAAACGCTTCTTTTGGAAACCAAAATAAATAGGAAAACATATTAACAATTTCAATGTTTACAAGCACTGACAGAAAACGTAGACTTAAAAAGATTATCTAACAGCATGTTGTTCCAACAAACAATGTGTAATTTCTGATTCCATCTCATTTCAGGTTCTTCAGAAACCGTCTTGAACCTGAGCATAATACACACAGCATTCATTTTGCTACCCGGCCTCGCTACCCAGTCCTGTCACGTCTCATCACTAGACTAGGTAAGAGTTATGTGGCGGAGAGCGACGTTAGACTGATACGTGCCCCTTCACTCCTCAATTATCTTTAACTTTACATTCGGTACAGGCCACTCAAACGTGCTTCCCCAGAAACGGGCTTAAATCCGACACATTTGAAAACGCCTCAGGAGAACTCGAAGCTCCGTAGTTAGAACACCGTGAGCTTTCTCCGGGCGATCTCAGAATCACTGTGGCGGCCACCAGCTCTGGGAGCCCCTTCCGACCGCTCGGAGGTGGCGCCCCCCTCGCCAGTCACCGCCCACGGTGGTGGGACTGCCCGCCGACCCCGCCCCTCCCCTGGGAGCAACGCCTCACACCGCCCGGAGAGGAGGAGGAAGGGGCGTGACGTCGCGGGAACTCCCACGCGACGTTGCATGACGTCACGCGAGGCCCGGGCGGGGCGAGCGGAGCCGGCAGCCCTCGGGCCCTCCCCCAGCCCGTGAAAGCGCGGGCTGCCCCGAGGGGGCTGCTTGGCCGCCGCCAGTTTGGTAGGTTAGTGAGGGAGCGAGGAGAAAAGCAAACGGCCGTCTCAGACTCTCCAGTCTCAGAGCGTGCCTGCTTCCCAGCTGGGGGCTTTGGAGAATCTCGAGGCCGTCTTGTAAGCTGTGAGTAGAAGGAATCCCTTTCCCCCGACCCGGAGCGCTGGGTCCTGGCGACTACTTCCGGTCCGCAGCTGCGGGCTGACCGAAGGCGTTTGGCCCGGGGGTGAGGATGGCTGTTTGGTCCTGGGTCTGAGTCGAGGAGCGGGCTGGGGCATGCCTAAACTCAGCGGGAGGTGGACCCGAGCGCGGACGGGGTGCCGCTCGGTGCAGTTCTTGGGTCGCCTCACCAGCTGAGAACTAGGCTGCCGGCGTGAGCCCGCCCCGCGCATGCGTCGACCTGTGCCCGGGGTCGCCCCGCGCGGTCTCCGCTCCAGTCCTGTGGAGCGCTTCACTGAGGGCGGCCCACCAGCCCTTCGAGGCGCGGGAGAAGAGGCTGATGGCTAAGGGTGCTGAGATGGAAGCCTCTGGACCTCTGCTCTGCCCGCGAGAGTACGATTCAGAGTCCCTGTTCAGTGTGTTCAGAACCCTTGTATGACCCCGAGGCGCCGCTCTTACCTCACCTGTGTAAGCATATGCGTGGTGTTGACGGGAAAGAAATCTCTTGAGCTCCTTCAGTGTGGTGGTTTATGATTTACCCTGCAGCAGGATGCGTTGAAATGTGTTAAATGATTGCCGACTTTTTAGCCCAGAATGCAACTTGAGAGGAAAGATGCACATTTCTGAGAAGTTGAAGGGCAACGTCATGCCAATAAATAACGGTTCAATATCAAAAGAGATGCCAGCAATAAGTGCTAAGCTTGCAAACTAGAGTGGAGAGGGTTTTGTGATCCAGACTTTGCAAGTTTAGTGTTGATACATTGTTATGTGAGGGGGCGGGGGGGGGGAAATAACCTTTTTACTATCTCTGAAGATAGATTTATTAAAGGAAGTTTATTTTACACTATTGGCTTTAAGCCATTTAATACTAAAATGTACAATATTAAATTGTTCATTAAAGTAACAAATATTGATTTGAAGTTTTTGATTAATAGAAGTAATTAACTTACTTTTTTTTTTTTTAGCTTCTTAGAAGTATTTTGGAGTTCACTGACATCACAACTTGAGTTCCAGCCGTGATGTAGCCTCGTAGTGTGACCTTGGGCGAGTCACTTAATCTCTTAAACCTGTTTTCTTCAACTCTAAAATGAAATCAGTAATAGTGGCTGTTTCATGCAGTTGCTCTGATGATTAAATTAAAAGAGAATAGAAAATGGCACACTCCATGGTATATAGTGAACACTTAATAAATGGTGGCTTTTATTGACGATAAAAGAGACCCATTGCTTTATCTTGTAGAACAGGCATCTTTGAAGATAAAGCTGTATTAATGCACCCACTTTTTAAAACTTTATTATATAAATAATATAGTAATACATTATTGTAGTAATATAATACTTAATATGTTACTATATTATATAATATGTATGATGTATATTGTGTAAATAATAATAATATAATACACACTAGAGAAACACTAGAATTGTGAAATCTTCATATACCTATCTGGTTGCCCAGCTTCAGTAACTGATAGTTCAGCCCTTCTTGATTTATCTGTCCACCCAAAATTTACTTATTTTCGCTGGAGTATTTTAATGCAGGTCCCAGTGAACCTTCAGTTTACCTATAGAGACCACAGTATTATCCCTTTAATAGATAAAGGAAGGGCTTTCTTTTTAATGTGATCATCTTCTTATCATATACAAAAAATTGAAAAATTAACTTTTAAAATCTAGTACTTGTTCAGTTTTCACTATCTTTAAAAAGCGTAGCCACAATTTTGAAAAGGCTTAATAAATGTATTTTTATTTCTTTAGTGCTCTATAGTTTACCAAGTGACTCTGCACATATATTGCTCCCTTTGGAAATGGCCATTGCTTATCTTAGCCTCTTCATCAGAGACCTCAAGAAATGGTTAGCAAGGGACACTTAAATCTATTTGGGCACTTGTTAGCAATGGTAAGGCATTGACTAAGGAGCCAAATGTGAGGTTTAGTAGACTTGTTAATCATCTAATTTTTTTTAGTAGTAACTAGTTAATGGTTTCAGTTTAAGAACACATGTTAAAATATTTATTAATTCACTTGAACTTCCTAATAGCCTTTTGCTTCCTTCAGGGGTTACACAAATAATAAACTTAATCATTCACCTTTACTCTGAGAGGCACAAAATAACTTTTCCCTAGTTGCCTAATTATTAGTTGTTTCTGTATCCATAGATCTTTGCTGTGTGTTTCTTGCTCGCAGATTTCTCTTATGAAAAAGCTCTTCAGATACTTGTGTTTTGTCAATCATCTTTCTTGCTCTTTTACAGTGTGTGTTTGTCTAGATGTGAATGCTGAAGTCAAGAATACTTCAGAATGCTTTTCAGTTGTTGGTTCAAAATGTTGTATTCCATATCAGCTCAGAAGTTTAAAAAGCAATAAATTCTTTAAGAATGGTGAATTGGTTCTGACCATGAATGATTACAAACCTCTCTATGTAAGAGTCCTTTCAATGTTACACAATGTAGGTAATTGCTTCCTTTTTGGCAGAATAAGAAAAAATTCACCTGAAAAAAATTTGCGTGACTTAAGGCCAGATAACTTAAATTGGGACTTTTCTCTCCAAAATCATCTTTTTTCCCTCACTTCTGCCTCCTCAAATTCTAAAGTGATTGATCATAGGTTAAGAAGGAAAACTTGAGTATAGCTGGCTGGGCTTGAAGTCATCCTGATTTCAAATCACATAAAGATAAATGCAGAATTTATTTATGTTGTAATCTGTTGTTTCAGGTATTTAAACTGGCCAAAGGCAACTTCAGACCTATATAATGTAACAGAAAAGATCAGGAAACATTAACCAATAGAAGCGTGGAGCATATTAAGCAAGATGAACCTCTCAGGAAGCAGTTGTGGAAGTCCTAGTTCTGCAGATGTATCTAATGATTTCAAGGATCTTTGGACAAAACTGAAGGAGTATCATGATAAGGAAGTACAAGGTAATTTTTTTTCTTAAATACCTATAGCATTATTCTGCTGAGACATAGTAGTAATAACTAGTCTGTGTGACAGTTCAAAGATCTCCTTCTTAAGGGACCTTTACTGTTTAATTTTGGGGGATTCATATTTATTGTTGAGTTGTTGCTTTTTGACTACAGACAACTACCATGGGATGTAGCTCTTACACAACTTGTAGTTACTTGTGGTAATGTGTATGGTGTGGTGGAAGGGGCATAGAAATTGTTGACTGAAGATCTGGATTTGAATTCTGATTTCATTTATCTACATGCTCTGTGATCTCAGCCAAGTTATATAGCCGCTACACTTAATTTTCTTCTGTGAGTTTATTTACAGGATTTTTTTTATATACTTAAGTTCAGTAAACCTTGAGAATTTGTTTCTCAGTGCTTGGGTTTGCCACCAAGCCCTGTGATCCAAAAATAAATAGCAGCTTGCCTTCAGAGAGCCTGCATTTTGGTAGAGATAAAGTCATGTGAACAGATAATTACAGTGTAATAAGAACTAAAACATTTGTATGAAATGTAGTGAGCATACAGACAATTGAGCTGTTGTGGTTGGATAAGTATATAAATATTATATGTGATTGTTAAAATGTACTATGAAAGCTGATCTCAAATTTGATATTAAACCTTAGTATATCTATCTAAGGTATGTGGAAATGCTTTGTTTTACATGTATTTCTTCATTATATGTTGCCACCATAGGTTTGCTAATACAGTGCTCTGTAAGTCACATAGCTTTTTCTTTTTTTAATTGAAGTATATTTAATTTACAATTGTGTTGGTTTTAAGTGTACAGCACAGTGATTCAGTTATACGTAAATATGTATTCTTTTTCAGATTCTTTTTCAGAATCTTTTTCAGATTCTTTCCCATTATAGTTTATTACAAAATGTTAGTCACCTGTGCTATACAGTAGTCCGTGTTGTTTACCTGTTTATAGTATATATAGTAATGTATTAATGTTAATCCCGACCTGTTAATTTATCTCACCCCATCCATCCCCTTTGGTAACCATAAGGTTGTTATTTGTGTCTGTGACTCTATTTCTGTTTTGTATTTGTATCATTTTTTTTAGATTCCATGTATAAGTGATATGATATTTGTCTTTCTCTGACTTATTTCATTTAATATGATAATCTCTAGGTCCATCCACGTTGCTGCAAATGGCACTATTTCATTCTTTTTTATAACTGAGTAATATTCCATTGTATATCTGTACCACATCTTTAACCATTCATCTGTCAGTGGACACTAGATGCTTCCATATCTTGAGTATTGTAAATAGTGCTGCTGTGAACATTAAGATGTATGTATCTTTTCAAATTAGTTTTCTCCTGCTGTATGCCCAGGAGTTGGATTGCAGGATCATATGGTAACTCTTTTTTTAGTTTTTTAAGAAAACTCCATACTCTTTTTGTTTCCCTAATGGTTAGTAATGTTGTCTTTTCATGCTTATTGGCTATATTATCTTTTCCTGTTTATTGGCTATTTGTGTACCTTTGAAGAAATGTCTGTTCAAATTCTTTGCCTATTTTTTAATCAGATTGGTTTTTGTTGTAGTTGAGTTATAGAAGTTCTTTTGTGTATTTTGGATATTAATCTCTCTGATATGATTTGCAGGTATTTTCTGCCATTCTGTGAGTTGCTTCTTCACTCTGTCAATTGTCTCCTTTGATGCATAGAAGTTTTAAATTTTGGTAGAGTCTAAATTATCTACTTTTTTCATTTGTTGCCTATATTTCTCTTTTGTTCCAAGAAATCATTGCCAAATCCATTGCCATTAAGCTTTTCCCTTGTGTTTTCTTCCAAGAGTTTTACATTTTTAGCTTTTATGTCTAGGTCCTTGTTCCATTTGAGTTAAAGTTTGTATTTAGTGTAAAGTAAGAGTCTAACTTCCTTCTTATGCTTGTATATATTTCACTTGCCCAGCACCATGTGTTGAAAAGACTGCCCTTTCCTCTTTGAATGGTCTTGGAAACCTTCTCAAAAACCATTTTATCATATCTGCAAGAGTTTATTTCTGGGCTCTATTCTGATTGGTCTATATGTCTGTCCTTATGCCAGTTCCACATTGTTCTGATTATTGTAGCTTTTTATTTTGTTTTGAAGTCAAGACATATGTGATGTCCAAGCTTGTTCTTTTTCCAAGATTGTTGTGGTTATTTGGAGTCCCTTGAGATTTCATACAAATTTTAGGACAGATTTTTCTAGTTCTGCAAAAAATATCATTGGAATTTCAGTACAGATTACCTTCTATCTGTAGATCGCATTGAGTAGTGTTGACATCTTAATAATGTTAAGTCTTCTGTTCCATGAACAGAAGATGTCTTTCCTTTTTAAAATTTCTTCCAGCAGTGTTTTGTAGTTTTCATCATACAAGTCTCATCTCCTTGGTTAAGCTTATTCCTTAATTTTGTATTGGATTCTTTTGGATGCTACCGTAAATGAAATTTTCTTGATTCCCTTTTCAGATTGCTCATTGTTAATGTAAAGAAACACCACTGATTTTTGTGTGTTGACTTTGTATCCTACAACTTTACTGAAACTATTTCTTAATTGTAGTTTTTAAATTCATGGCTGAGATAAACATTAAAAACTCTTTAATTTTATTATGAAAGGTTGGAGTTTCAATACATCTCCCACTTCACATGCATACTTTACTGCTCTGTTATGCTCATTCTTTGATAAATTATTCTGATCCATGTTTCCTTTAAAGCTCTCTTTCAGCATATTAGGATTGATGATTTAGTATAGGTACATTAGTGTTCATTTAGAAATCCAGTATCAGTGGAGTTTTATTGTTTTATTGTGTTTTTTTATTATTATTTAAACTTTTTTTCTAAAATTGTCAAAGTATAAAATAAACAGTAAAAATTTATCCCTCTCCTCCCCACACACTAAAGGCAACCACTTTTTATTACCTTTTGTGATGTTTTCTATTTTTTTTTAATTTGAAGTTTAAGACTAATTTTAGGAAATATTACTCACTTACAGAAGTAAAGAAAATAGTATAAAGAACTCCTACTTACCCATCACTCAGCTTCAGCCAACATTGGCCAGTCCTGTTTTACCCATATTCCATTTGTATCTTTATCCCTCTTCCACTCAATTACTTTGGAGTTTCTGACATAATTTCATATATAAACATTTCAATATATTCCAGTAGTCTTTTTTAACCAGAAAATACCATTATCACACTAAATAAATTCTTTAATGTCATCTCATACCTATTAGGTGGTCATGTTCAACTACCCAGTTACCTAAAATGTTTGTTTATAGTTAGTTTTTTCTAATATGTATCTAAAACATATCTCCATGTTGTATTTTATTAACATATCTACTGAAAAGTGTAGTTTTAATTTATATTTCCCTTATGAGTGAAATTAATCATCTTTGCTTATGTTTGAGGGTGGTTTGCATTTCTTTTTTAAGAACTGTTTATATACCTGATTATTGGGTTGTTGGCCTTTTCCCTATCAATTGATAGGAGCTGTTTATATCCTAGGCATGTTATTGACTTCAAATATTTAAAAATTTAGAAATTCAAATTTGTTGTTAATGGTAAAGATCTAATTTTAAAGTGACTATGCTTGTGGTCATATGTCCAGGGACAAATATGAGTATTTTACATTAATTCTACTTTTCACTTGACTACACTATTTTCCCCCAGAAAATACAGTGTGAAACATTGAGGAAGGATTCTGAATTTTAGTACTGACTTGCTATTCATTCAGTGAGTAGTTACTGAATTATATATTGGGAATCATAGCAGTTGCTGACGATATAGCCGTGAAGAAGATACAGTGGGTTTGGGGAGCATTGTATTCTTTTCTCCTTAGGAAAATACTAATACAGTATAATTATATAATGAAGTGATAACAAAAATAAGCCAAATACAGGACAGTCTGTCTTGGTTACACTGATAATAACAATGTAATCAGCTGCATGAGCTTTTAAATCTGCAAAGGAATAATAACATCTCCCAACTTCTGTTGAAGAGCAGCGTTATCTTCCTCTTGGTTTATAAATCTGTGACCCCACCATGCAAGTTTACCTTGCATGGAACAACTTGAAGTTTAAACTATTATAGGAGCAATGCACTATATAAAAGCTTACTCTTTGTGACCTGGAGGTAAAACAGACATAATATCTCCAAATGATTTAAATAGGACCAGACATACTGGAGTTTTTATTAAACATTTGATAGAGAATTAGCATTCTGCCATCTTCAAGCATAAGGTTAAATTCTTTACCCTTCAAATAATTACTTTCTGTTTTATAATTGCTTTTTAAGATCATTAAAATTTTATCATACAGAGTCCATATCTTACTCATCTTTCTACTTGCATTTCCATAGGTAAAAGTGCTTGGCATCTAGTAAGAAATTAGTAAGTGGTATCTGAATGAATTGCATAGTTTATATCTGCATCAATGGAACATTTTCTTGAACATAAGTTTTTAAAATCCCATAAGAGAATTCCTTGGCAGTTAGTGGTTGGGACTCAGAGCTTTCACTGCCGTGGCCTGGGTTTAGTCCCTGGTCAGGGAACTAAGATTACACAAGCCTGTGGCATGGCCAAAAAAATTTCCATACGATATGAAAATATCGAAATTTTTTGTCTCTGAAACCCTGAAATACTTTACTACCCATTTACCTTAAATTTTTTATTTTTCAGTGATACTGTAAAAGCATCATTTTATAAGAATGACAGTTGTCTATTCTAGTTTTAAGAGAAATGCATGTAGCTTATTATATCGTCGTGATCCATATACATACTGTTTTATGTGTGACTTATTTTTGCTGTTATTGTTAACCAAACTGCTTGTTTTTCATGTGGCAAATAATCATCACCATTTTAGAATTTTTATGCATACCCATTTAAAACTGGGACAGTTTTTATTTTTTAGGCTCATAACAGGGATAAAATATTTGTTCGATTTCTTCATGTTTCTTGGTGTTTCAGGTTCTTCAGCAAACTCTATTAATATCTGTGCTTTATGAATCATTTGATATACATGATATATCAAACATATCTAACATTGGATATATGTTTGAGTTGAGAGAAGATAACTTCTGGCACATTTTAATATATTGATTAGGCAACTTTTACCAATTTCGAAATTACTTATGGATTCTTAAAGATTCTAAATGATCGAGCGCTTTTTTTAAAAAATTAGTATTTGGGCTTCCCTGGTGGCTCGGACGGCAAAGAATCCACCTGCAATGTGGGAGACCAGGGTTCGATCCCTGGGTCGGGAAGATCCCCTGGAAAAGGGCATGGCAACCCATTCCAGTATTCTTGCCTGGAGAGTCCCATGGACAGAGGAGCCTGGCGGGCTGCAGTCCCCGGGGTCACAAAGAGTCGGATACAACTGAGTGACGAAGCACACATATGTTATTTAAAAATATTTTGGTTGGGGCCTGGCACATTTGCTGAAAGAAAGGCTCTTGACAGTCCCTTGTCAGTGTGTTCCACATAGTTCCGTGTAAAATCAGGCCCTGTGACTCTTATTATAACATCAAAGACATGCCTAAAGGATACTTTACTTTTTTTATTTGAAAGTAGAGGGTCCATTTGGAGAAACCAGTGTAAGAGGCCACTTGAAAGACATCAAACAGGGACTTGTCCAGACTTCGCAGGTTTTGAAGTATATGCAGGAATCAAAATTGACTCATTCTAAACCTTCATGCCCAGGTTAAAAAAGAATGGAAAAGTTATAAATGTAGTACTTGAGTTATATAATTTTTCCTAGATATGCATATGAACTTAAATACATTTGAATTCATTTGAATGCAGGGGGTTTTGGGGTGGTTTTTTTTACTTTTTAAAATCCCTGTCAGTATCTGGTTTATTATTTTAAAAGCACAAGTTATAAGATGGAATTTAGAATATTTTTCAGAGTGCTACCATTTTAATAAATAGTTTTTTGTCCATGCTACATTCTGCCGTCAACATCTCATAATATTTTCTGTATCTGGTGAATATGGTAATCAGTTTCATAGAAAGTGAGGCAGATTTGTGAGGACAGAATTGGACCCCTTTGAAGAAATGGAAAGTATGGAGGCTCTAATATGACAGGATAAATATGTCTTGATTCACTTTTGGATTGCTCCATTTATTTTCCCATGTTTCATCAAAAATTCCAAAAAGATAAAATTCATATTAAGACTACACAAATTAGCAATGAAAGGAATGACAAGTAACTTTGGTCCATAACATCAGTGTCCTGTTCATTATTATAAAAAGCTAGTCATCAGGAAAATGCAAATCAAAAGGGCAATGAGACATCACCACATACATGTCAGAATGACATCATAAAGAACACAAATAACAAATGTTGGTGAGGACGTAGAGGAAAGGGAGCCGTCATACACTGTTAGTGGGAATATAAATCAGTGCAGCTACTGTGGAAAACAGTATGAAGATGTCTCAAAAATCTGAAAGTAGATCTACCATATGACCCAACCATTTCACTCCTGGGTTTATATTTGAAAATAAAAACACTAATTTGAAAAGGTAAATGCACACCAGTGTTCATAGCAGTGTTATTTACCATTGCCAAGATATGGAAACAATCTAAGTATCCATCAACAGATGAATGGATAAAGATATGTGTAGATACACACACACACAGTGGAATATTGGTCAGCCATGAAAAGAATGAAACATTGCCATTTGCAGTAACATGGATGGGCTCAGAGGGTATTATGCCAAGTGAAAGAAGTCAGACAGAGAAAGGCAGATATTGTATGGTATCACTTCTGTGTGGAATCTAAAAAATTAAATGAGTGAATATGACAAAAAAAGATGCAGACCCACAGATATAAAGAACAAATTAGTGGTTACCCATGGGGAGAGGTAAGTGGGGGTAATTATAAGATAAGGGATTAAGAGATATAAACTATTAGGTATAAAATAAGCTACAAGTGTATACTGTACAACACATGAAATACAGCCAATATTTTATAGTATAATCTTTAAAAATTGGGAATCACTAAATATACACCTTTAACAACAAACAAGAACATAATATTGTACATCAACTATAATTCAGTTTGAAAAAGAATACTGTCATTAACTATCACATGTATTATTTTTCCATTTGTATTAACAAACTCAATGAAATCTCCAAAAAATTAATTTACCCATTTTGATATAATCTTAAAAGTAAGCTAAACAAACCTTAAAAGTGGCTGCATTTTATAAAGACAAATGTCTTTACTTTGGAGTTGAAATTGATTAGGCAGTTACCGAAATACTAATAGTAATGTTTTTGGTAGAAGTTTAATTATTTAAGCTACATGTAAAGCCACTATTTGTCAGGCAAAATGTTACTGGACTTAAAATTTATCATTCAGAACCGTAAATAACTTGTTTTACAGTGACAGTATATACATAAATGGTTTGTTCTGGGTGGTGAACGAAAATGAGTATAAATTAGCATAGCAATGATTTTGTTTATGACAAGTTGAATTCTTGCCTTATTTCTGAATTCTTACTTAAATTTGTTTCTTCTGTTACGTGAGTACACATGTGGGCCCTTAATTGTTTCATTTTGTCCAAAATTCATATACACATGGGTGTTGGGTGTACAGTGCTTTTGGTCTTTTGAGCACTGTTTTCTCATTAGGTGTCTCAGGTTTCCAGCGTTAACAATCCCAAATACTTTTTTGAACAGACTGCCTGTTCATACAGGAGCTGCATTGTCGTATAGCCTCATTCCTTCCGATGGGTGTGGAGCAGGATTAAAGCACACTTTATAGGGGTTCTAATTGTGGATGCCTAATTGACTTGATGAATAGCAAATGCTAAAATTTAAACACACATACATACACATACTAACATAAACTTGCTTCAGGGCTGGTCTGCATGACAGAACAAATGCCTCGCAGGTGTTGAATGCTTACAAGATAAAAGAGTAGTCTTTCCATGTTTCCCAAGAATTTTCTTTTGAAGTTTTTAAGGATTTTCTATCTCATTGTTCCTTTTCTTAAAATGGTTCATAGCAATAATCCATTTCATCTTGGGTGCTACTTTTCACTTCTAAAGGCAGACCTGAGTTTTAGAAGTCAGCCAAAATTAAATTTTCACACACTTTGGGGAGGGTAGAGGAGTAGAAAACTGCTGACTAGTCTTTGGCCTAGTGGGGTAACAAGTTCTTTTCTTAATTCCTCAAAAATGAGTTAATGCTTTATTAAATACTTTAAAGGTCTTCTGAGTTGTCATCATTACCTGAAAAAGAAGAAATCTTCCCCAGCTAGGGAACTAACTTGATAGATGGGAAAGATTTTTTGAAAATCAAAAGATCATACCAGTTTTTATTTTTAACATTAAAAAATTTTTCCTTTTATTATAATGCTTTACATTTTCACAGTATTCCAACTCTCTCAATACTTTTCTGTAAATTTTCTTTATTTTGAACTTATTATAGATTCACACTGTATGTATACCCTTTACCCAGTTTACCCCAATGGTGATAACATCTTGTATGGGCTTCCTGTGTGGCTTATTGGTAAAGAATCCACCTGGAGTGCAGGAGATGCAAGAGACATGGGTTCTATCCCTGGGTCAGGAAGATCCCCTGGAGTAGGAAATGGCAACCCGCTCTAGTATCTTGCCTGGAAAGTCCCATGGACAGAGGAGCCTGGCAGGCTACAGTCCATGAGATGGCAAAGAGTCAGACACGACTGAGCACAGCACAGTAGCATAGGGAGTAGTTTTATATTTTGTTATCTGATTCAAAAATACATATAACACATATAATACATATCTTGAACTAGATACAGTAGTGCCTTTTGTTAAGTGTGTTTTTGTCAGCAGTTGTGTTCCTAGTCCAGGACTTCCTGACACAATCTGTTTTAATCCCAGAAGATTTCAGCCTATATAAGCAGTATTGCTGTTAGCAAAATACATAGGCTATGCCAGAACATAAACCTTCATTCATAGTGAACATCTAATTATATGCTTGCTCATGCTATTAGGAAGTAACTTTGGTGGAGAAAATTTCATTCTATTTGGCTGTCATACAATAGACTCAGAGCAACAATGTTGCAGATATTTTGTGACTTAAGGGTGCGAATAAGGGAAGTATATTCTTCAAACTAATGGGACTTGGCTCATTGTTCAGAGGCCAGACTCAAGTGATTTAATAGTGTAGCATTAGAGGCATAAAGAAACTTAGATTAACTGCTTTAGAAATGATAAAATGTATAAATAAAATACTGTGGGGTTTTTTTTCTTTTTCAGGTTTACAAGTGAAAGTAACCAAACTGAAAAAGGAACGAATTTTGTAAGTATCAGTATATATAATACTGGTGTCTTATTTATGGGGTAATTGATATTGATGTCCTATTTGACCTATTTAGTGTGTACGTTGTATAGCTGACAGCAAGTTACTCAAAATTCTAAAGGAAAAAGAATAATAATTTATCAATAATTATAAATAATAAGAGTATGGGTAAGGCTTCCCTGGTGGCTCAGAGGTTAAAGCATCTGCCTGCAATGCATTCGATCCCTGAGTCAGGAAGATCCCCTGGAGAAGGAAATGGCAACCCACTCCAGTATTCTTGCCTGGAGAATTCCAGGGATGGAGGAGACTGGTAGGCTACAGTCCATGGTCGCAAAGAGTCGGACACGACTGAGCGACTTAACTTTCTTTCACTTTCAGCCTTAGGTAGTATTTGAATATATTTATATTTTAATATAATTTTAGTATATATATAATCTTTTTCCTTAAACTTATTAAGATGGAAACTGATCTATATATCATTTTGATCTATTAATGGCATTTTTTTCTCACCTATGGTTAATACCTGGAATTTAAGATACTACAAGATGGGGAGCAGAATAATTGTGGGATTTCTAACTCATAAGAAATGGAAACTAAATGGATATTCTGAGACACCATTTAACTAGTTTGAAATTCCCAGCAGTTCCCCTGAATTGTTTTGGTTATTAACCCCAGAATCAGATCTGATTTTCTAAGTCAGGAGCAGATTTTATTCATGGTTTTTTAGAACTTCTACATTCAGAAATCTGAAACAGATGGCCTAGTAGAATACTATTATGCACAACAAAATGTAACATCATTGTGACTAATAATATTGTACTTGCTTTACAGTATATATACCAGTAGGTCTCAGTTCTTTCCTATTCCTGAATCTTCCAGGGCTTTAACCAGAAGCTGGAGTTACCAACTGCTCATCAAAACATGCCTCACTATTTTTTCTATTATAATCTGAAATCAGAAATTGTGAAGTTTTCCATTGCAACTAGAAAGTGATGTTTGGAAGATGATTTAGATACAGAAATATGAGATCATAAATTTTTTAAAGTTTTTTTAAAGAATAATTTTATGATTCTTAATTAGTGGCACTTTTAAATACTTTGCATGTTGAAAGTCAACATGTTCCTACCTTAAAGATGTCATTTTAAACATTTAAATTTCAGGATGTATATCTTATTAGGATATATTTTTTATACAAGAGGTATTTTTCCACATGTCTAACCAAACAACCACAGGAAAAATCTTAAATTTGTAAATGACTGTTGAATATTACTTTCTCAAAAGTCACCTATAACACTTATAAATCTATGCTTTACTTCACTGTATGGTTCACAGTCATTTGATCTTCTTAGCAGTCTTTTAATATATATTGTGATTACTCTGTGCCTTGCCTACCTTAGGTAGCTTGGGGTTACACATTTTGGAAGCATGGGTAAGTAACTAAATCCCTCTGAGTAATCAGAGAAGTAAAGGGATGCTTCATTTTTCAGAAGGATAGGTCATTGCTTTGTGGGACCAGGAACTTGGATTTGCCTGTGTTACCATAACCCCCCTTTCCAAGTATATTTTACAGTAGACTGCCATGGTACAGTAACAAGATGTCTGGTCTCCATATTGTTAGAACAGCTTTATTTGTAAAATATCTCACTCCTTAGGAATTCCCACCTGGAAGAAGCAGTTAGAAAAGAAATCAGTAACTGTACTATATTTGTCTATCATGTAATTGCTTTAGGCCTGTGTTCTGATGTTGTCTCTGTATATAGCTAATGTATCTCTTTTACACAAATTCATTTACAAAATTATACATGTAGAAATGTTGACTGTTGAATTTTGGTTGAATGCTTCCAAAATAGAATCAGTGAAAACCTAGTGCTGCTTCTGAATTAAATATATTTTCAAGAAGTATTGGGAGTTTTTTAATTACTAGTTTCAGCTATTTCTTACTTCCAAAATTTAGTATCTATACATATGCTACCAGAACAATATTTGTTGTTTAGCAGGAGACCACTCTTAGATGTATTGGTTTGTCATTCAATATCAAATATTCAACCAATATTTAAGACATACCCTCATTGGTATCTGACATTTTGACTTAGTTGTTTTGCTCACCTGTTCTGTTGCCAGTGATATTACATTCATTAGCAATTTCGATACCATCATATGGACATCTCCTTGTTTGTCACCTTTATTTGATTTGATGTTTTTGACCCTTGAGAGGTTTGGTGGAAGGTGTTTGAACCACTCTATTATCTTGTATTTTCAGCTTCCACATCACACAGAGAGTCCCAGTTCAGTTTCTAACGGGTTTTCATAAAGTAAATGCATATTTTATATATGTGATTTTTTTTCCCTGAAATGTAACAATGACGGAGGGGTAAAATATGGCACAGCCTTGGAAAATAACTAGATAGCCTACCAGAAGAAAATTTTAGATGTCTTTGTATTTTCTTGACCATAATCAAAATGGTAAATACTTAAATAGAGCTTACTATTTGCCAGCACTGTTCTGCAGGCTTTGTATTCATTAGTACTTACTTAGTCCTTGCAAATGCCTTATGAGGTAGATACTAACATATCCACATTTTTGGGGGTACAGAGAGTTTAGGTTACTTGTACTAGGTCACACAGTTGGTACCTGGCAGCTGAGATTCAAACCTAGGAGGCATCAGAATAGGGTTGGTTTGCATCTACTTCACAGTAGACCCTGGCTTAAAAGTAATCCCAGGTAAAAGTTTAAGCAACACAAAACTTTGTAAAAACACAAAGTATAAATCCCTCATAGTTGGACTAGAAGCGATACGAGTAGAGTTACCTGCTGTTTATATTGACAAATGTATATAAAATAATAAAAATAACCAGTAAGTGTATAGTTCAATAGTAATTTTGACTATGTTGAGTCAGTGGTGGCATCAGAATTCACTCTATTTGTGTTCCAGCATTGTGTAATGAATACCTAGTGCTTAGGAAGATACTTCTATAGAACATAAAAATACTGCAGAGCAAATTCGAGTATAATTTGATCTCTGATTAACAAGATATTCAAATCTCACCTTTTGTGTTTGTTTTGATACAACAGATTCATAATATGTAAGTGGTGAGATCATACTTTGAAGTTCTTAATGACAGAATAGTCCTGTTAAGAGTGTTTTTCCCTTAAAAAGGAAAAAAACAACTTACTGCTTGACTTTCAGAGATGCACAAAGACTAGAAGAATTCTTCACCAAAAATCAACAGCTGAGAGAGCAACAGAAAGTCCTTCATGAAACCATTAAGGTGTTAGAAGATCGGTGAGTGTGGTTCTTGGGTCCTCTTGAGTAAGAGGTGTTTTTCCTCTTAACAGAGAATATACATTGGTGTTCATTTGTCATCAGTTCTGAGGCTTAATTAAAGTGATCTTTTTTCCAACTTCAGGTCAACTTTGGATAAATAGCTTATGAAATTAAGGATATTCCCTTACAGGTTTGTTTTTTCATTAGTTATAGCAATTACATCAGTTTATCTTTTAAATGATGTTTCTTTATCTGGTGTTTGATATTGGACAAGCTCAAGGATAGCAGTGTTCTAATGCTTTTGATGCTTTAATTCCATTTTTACTGCTTCACAGTTCTGTTACTGTCTAACTCCTGTCCTGCCATTCTGTTTTCTTCCTTGCGTTATTTCTCCACTTTCAGGCATTCTAGAGATTCTTTTTACTGAGAATTCCCAAGATAATGCTATTCACCTCCACCTACCGACTTTCTTTTCTCCCACTTCTATGAAGTTAACACTACATTAGAAAAGACTTTGAGATTTTGTTGTTTTCCCTTGTCTGAACTGTAAGTGCTATTTAGGACCTTGAACTACTTAATGTCTCTTCTTGCTTTATTTATAGTTAATATTTTTCCTTTATTATCATTTCTGTATATGTTACAAGAGGGCTGGTGGTTTGATTTTGCTGCTGTGCCTTTACTGGTGGAATAATCTCATATTCCGTGTGCATGCAAACTGAAGTTGAGTACTCTGTCATCCACGACTGCTATCTCCATGGATGTACACTTACTGGGATAAGCAGCCTGTTCTGGAATATATAAAACTCCATATGCTTTAGAATCAGAGATATGAATTTGAATTCCAGTTTCACACTATAGCCTTAAGTAAATTTAATAATAAATAGTTGAGCCTTGTACCATGTTCTAGGTGTTACTCTAGGGGCTAGGAATAATGCCATCCCTCTAGGTATACCACAGACCTATCAAATATCCATACATCTAACCCTTCTGAAAAAAAGGGAAGAAGGAAGGTCTTAGGCTGCATTGTATTTTAGGAAAGGTTCGACAAGGTCAGTGGGGGGTTCTGCTCTGCTCATTCATTGGCTGGCTTCTGACTGAGATGCTTGGTGTGGTCACCTGTCTGAACAGGTGAACGATTTCAGAGCACAACAGTTGGAGCCAGTGATTTTACTTCCCACAATAGGAGATATGTTTTTGTGGTTGCCACACTAAAAGACTGATTGTATTTATTTCCAGCACTCATTCTGTTTAGTTGATCATTCACAAATTGCTTAGGACTCAAGATTAGTACACTGAGGAAAAAAATCACAAAATAAAGTTTTCATTATGTTTTGCATTAATTGGCTTAATACCGTTGGCTCTCCATTTCATCCCCAAGCTATAGTCGTCTTCCATTTTAGCTTTTGAAGATATTCCTTTTTAACATATTCAGAATATTTCTTCATTTTGTGATTTAAAGTTTTTGCTGTTCTGTTATTCTTTGCATCTTATGCTTCTTTTCTTAAGTGAGTTGTTCTTCTCCCATCTCGTTCTGAGAAGAAATGACAGTGGATGAGTGCCCCTACCCTTCCTGGAGAAGCGTTTTCTAAATTACTCTCCTTTATTTGGTGAATACATTTAATTGTTAAAATTACCATTTTTATTCTGCAGTTTTTAAAAATGATTCTTTTCTGTTTATTGGTTGTGGTAACTGATTTCATGTGGGTATTACACTTCTCCACTGTTTCTTATTCCTAAATGTTCTTGTTGCCTTTCATTCTGTTCACCGTTACATTTTTAGGCAGGTGAGCCTATAATTCACTACATGGTGTTAATCTGGGGGTGGGAAAAGGAGGGTAGCTCATTCCTTTATTCACATGCTTTTTCTCTCTGTTCTTCAACACTAAAATTTCCTTCTGGGATTACTTTAATGTTTGTCCCTCATTTTATGAAGCTTCATTTAATGAAACTGAGAGTGATCTAGATCTGACCATTATTTTTTTAATGCAGGATCTGATAGGTTTGAGGGCTCACTTTATACCCGGGTATCCAGCACTTGATCTTCACTTTAACCCTGTGAGGTAGATGATAAATCAGTTTTACAAAAGAGGAAACAATGCTGACAAACAGTTAAACTTTCCCAAGATCACATAGCTAATGAATAATTAGTTTAAATTTGATCCCCAAGCTTCCTGATTTCTACTGTTTGATATGTATTGTCTTAATTTTATAAATGTTGTATAAGTAAATTACAACTTAACTGATTATCTCAGAGTATTTATGTTTGATATCAAGTTACTAAAACAAGTACTCTGAAATATTAAGTCTTCAACATTGCCTATTATCATAGTCTTGTTTTATTGGAAGGTTGGTTTGTTTTTGGTTATTTTCCTTTTAAATTGCTACTAATTAAATGCTACCTTTAAATGTCAAAGTAGGTACCATTTAGTAAAGTTCTACTTAGTTAAAATTTTACTTTAATTTTATGTCATATGTAAGAATGAATGATAGTCTAGAGCAAGTTTTTCTGAGACCTTTAAAAAACAACATGTATTTCATTAAAATTTCTTAGTGGTAATTCTGCAGCTTGCTGTTTACTCTTCATAAGATGAAGTGATTCTTACTTCTTAGCCTAATATTGTGAAAACATCAAGAGAGGTTTAGATGAAAGGAATTAATGCAATAAAGATAAATTAGACAGTAAAATGTTCTAATTTAATGTGGCTTGCTTGTTTGTGTTTTACTACTACTGTTATTATATTACATTTATAGACTTTCCTTTAAGGAAGCAAAGTATTTCCCCTAATCTAAGGAGCAGTCACTGTGCTAAAGAAGTAGATAGAAGAAGTTTTTAAAAAAATCTGAACTAAGCAGTTAAACCATAGTTGTCTGATATATTTTAATATCTTTAAAAGCTCTTTTGGCAGTCATAGGAAACACATGTTTCAACTGTTGTTAAAAGGGAAAATCGGTACACATAATCAGAGGATTTGTGGTTCTCTAGTTTTCAAATACTGAACCAAATGTCTTCTTTTGTCTTGCTAAGTCTTCTTACTCATAGATTTGAATTTAAATTTATTCTTCAAGAGACCTTCCCTGACTTCCTAGACTAGGTTTAGTTCTGCTGTGTGCTTTCATAGTGTCCTGTATTTCCACTTTAATGTGAATCCTATGCATGCGTCCAATCCTATGTATTGGACATGTGTCTGCTCAGTCATGTCCAATTCATGACACCATGAACTGTAGCCCACCAGGCTCCTGTGGTTTTCTAGGCAAAAATACTGCAGTATGTTGCCATTTCCTGTGCCAGGGGATCATCCTGATATAGGAATTGAACCCACATCTCTTGTCTCTCTTGCATTGACAGGTGGATTCTTTACTGCTGTGCCACCTGGTCATGCTTTATTTTAAATACTTCTTATAGGTCAGGAAGCAACAGTTAGAACTGGACATGGAACAACAGACTGGTTCCAAATAGGAAAAGGAGTATGTCAAGGCTGTATATCGTCACCCTGCTTACTTAACTTCTATGCAGAGTACATCATGAGAAACGCTGGGCTGGAAGAAGCACAAGCTGATATCAAGATTGCCAGGAGAAATATCAATAACCTCAGATATGCAGATGACACCACCCTTATGGCAGAGAGTGAAGAGGAACTGAAAAGCCTCTTGATGAAAGTGAAAGAGGAGAGTGAAAAAGTTGGCTTAAAGCTTAACATTCAGAAAACTAAGATCATGGCATCTGGTCCCATCACCTCATGGAAAATAGATGGGGAGACAGTAGAAACAGTGTCAGACTTTATTTTTTGGGGCTCCAAAATCACTGCAGATGGTGACTGCAGCCATGAAATTAAAAGACGCTTACTCCTTGGAAGGAAAGTTATGACCAACCTAGATGGCATATTAAAAAGCAGAGACATTACTTTACCAACAAAGTTCCGTCTAGTCAAGGCTATGGTTTTTCCAGTGGTCATGTATGGATGTGAGAGTTGGACTGTGAAGAAAGCTGAGCGCTGAAGAACTGATGCTTTTGAACTATGGTGCTGGAGAAGACTCTTGAGAGTCCTTTGGACTGCAAGGAGATCCAACCAGTCCATCCTAAAAGACATCAGTCCTGGGTGTTCATTGGAAGGACTGATGTTGAAGCTGAAACTCCAATACTTTGGCCACCTGAAGAGAAGAGTTGACTCAATGGAAAAGACCCTGATGCTGAGAAGGATTGGGGGCAGGAGGAGAAGGGGACGACAGAGGATGAGATGGCTGGATGGCATCACCGATTCGATGGGCATGAGTTTGAGTAGACTCTGAGAGTTGGTGATGGACAGGGAAGCCTGGCATGCTGTAATTCATGGGGTCGCAAAGAGTCAGACAGGACTGAGCGACTGAACCAAACTGATAAACCCTTTGTAAGAAGTGACATTATCTTGGTCACTGTTGTATTTTAGCACTGACAGTACTCAGTATAGGTGTTCAGTGAAACCCTTTTGAATGAAAATGAATAAATCTGAGGAAGTCTTTTTAGGGTATAGCAAACAATTGAACATACTTGTTTATCTGGTAAGTTTTACTGCAAAATGAAAGCTTCTATTTCTTCATCTCTATGAACAAGGTGGAATATAACTCAGAATGCCTAATGCTTTTTGGCTGTTAAAGTAGAATTACTCCTTTCCCTTTTAACCTGCTTATAGCTACTGAAATTGCATTCTCCTATGAAACTGAGGCTGTTTTTTCTTTCTCTGAAGCAGCAGTTAAAGGTAGGCAAGAGGAAAGAAGTGGAATCCTACTGATGGGAATAGGAACTATCCTGTTTTCTCACATCCATTTAAATTTAAGCTAGGATCAGTGAACAATCAGGAGTTGACTCTTTACAGATACTTTAATATTAAAAGTGGCAGTAAACTGGAGAAAACTAGAAGTAATAAACAAGCTGGGGAATATTGCTTCATTTTATGACTGCCTATACCAGTGACATTTTTAAGCTTGGAAACTAAGGGTTTCAAGAGGTTGTGTTCCATAATATCTTATGACATTTTAACATATCAGAGTTGAATTCTTGGGAACAATACGGAAAATGGTAGGGTAATGTTTAAAAAATACTTCGTTAGAATTGATTAATGCCACTTAGCTCCTTCAGTGTTTTTCAGTGACTTTTCAATATCAATGCTCTTCTTGGCCTCTAGATTTAATAGTTCTAGAGTTTAATAGTTTAAAGTGAATAAATTATTTACCTACAATCAGAACTATTTGAGTGTTATTGCATGAAGCCCAAGCTATTAATTTGAATAGATGTTGGAAAGAGAAATATGAAATGTGAAGTATTTTTTAAAAATAGTTAAAATTAAGTTTCTTCTTTTTTTTTCCATTTATTTTTATTAGTTGGAGGCTAATTACTTTACATTATTGTAGTGGTTTTTGCCATACATTGACATGAATCAGCCATGGATTTACATGTGTTCCCCATCCCGATCCCCCCTCCCGCCTCCCTCTCAATCCCATCCCTCTGGGTCTTCCCAGTGCACCAGCCACGTTTCTTCTTATAACAGTTTAACAATGTCTTGGTTTGGAATAGAGAGAACTTTATCTTTATTTCCTTTGGAATTTTAAAGGCAAATAGCAAGAATAACAGTAGCAGCAGCTGTTAAGTTCAGGATCACAACTAGAGCACCTAATCCTCTGTTTTTATCTTCTCTCTTATTAGTATAATTTATTTAAGTTGAAATAGATTCATGTGGCTTGTGGCTACCATTTTGAACCACAGTTCTAGACTTTTCCCAGTACTGCCTTAGGATTCAGCATTCTCAAGTTAGTTTCTATTCATCTACCAGCAATTGAAATTGCTTTCAGTTTGTTTGCTTTCTTTCCCATTTTCCATCTTCATAGTCTTGTGTCTTTAAAAATATATATGTGTCTGTGTGTATGTATATATATATATAATCTTTACTGTAGCTTTGTGGGATTTGGGGAGGGAGCCATAGTAGATGCAGATGTTCACTTTGTCATCTTTTCTTAGATCTTGATTGTTCTAATTCCTGTCTCTAGAATGTACTCCAATCAAACCATGACGCCGAGTTCTTTATCCTTTGTTCTAGACATTTTAGTCCTATTAATGTAACCTATGATCTCTAATCTTTATTTTTTATACCCATATCAACATTTGTTGATATGATTTTTACATAAAAATCTCTAGGTTCTTTTTGTTTCAGTTGTACAGTTCTCATGAATTCATGGCATGTCCTACCATGCTATTACTTCCATAGACATTTATGTATACTTAGTATCTTATTAAGTTATTGAGTTAAAATTATTATATAGAATTTATATTTGCTGAATTCCTAAAGTGGGATATGTGTTTTTTTTTTTCAACCATATTTTTTCCTGGTTATATAAATAATGAAATTAGAGAAATTTTGAAAAATAAGCAAAATACTAAGAAGAAAATCGTCTGTATTATTGGTACCTATGAGATAACTATTAGTAACATTTTAGAAAATACCTTTCTTTTCATCACCCACCCCTTTCATGTATGTATTCCCTTTTTCCTTCAGCCCTCAAGATAATAAAATCTATTTTGTAATCTAACACTGGAGTCTTTTTTTAAAACTGAAAGAACATAACTTTTTTTAAACTTTGTATTCTTTGATCTTTAGTATTCATTCAACTAAAAAAGTTGTTGAATACTCATTATGTGTGATATGCTATGCTGGGCAAAGCAGATGCAAGTTTGCATTCAGTCCATTGGTACAGGACTGGGTTCAATTTTTGGGTCTAACAAATTAAAACAAGGTCAGTTTCTTCAATAAATAAGTTCCCCTTGAATAGAGTTTAAAATTAGTAGCAGGTTTTTATAGAATTGCACTCAGAATTGCAGCCTGTAGAAAATGATATAGCATGATTTCAGCCTATATGGGAATATGTGAAAGGCATTATAACTAATTAATTTTCTCTGTATTTTCCAATTCAGTTCTTTTTAATTCTTCCTAAAGTATAAAAATCCTGAAATTAATACATGGAGCAGTATCTTATAGTAGTTGACAGATATTTTTTATTTCAGTTAATTGAGGCATAATAAATAATTTTTTTTTAATGTTTATCATAGTGATTTGATAAATGTGTACATTGTGAAAGGATCCCTACCATCTGGTAAATTAATACATCCATCACCTCACATATTTTTTATGCTTATTTTTTGATGAGAACATTTTAGTTGTACTCTAAAAATACTTTGTTTTTGTTTCATAGATTAAGAGCAGGATTGTGTGATCGCTGTGCAGTAACTGAAGAACATATGCGGAAGAAGCAACAAGAGTTTGAAAATATTCGGCAGCAGAATCTTAAACTTATCACAGAGCTTAGTGAGTTTCCTTTCTTCACTTACTAAGTATTTAAAACATAGTATGCTACTGTTAAACACCTATTATTAAATTGGTTACAAACAGATGGATTATTTACATGTTTTCTTCATTTAGACACAAGGTCAGATGTCATTTTTTTCCCTTTTTGTAGATGTAATCTCATACTTATTTTAGTAAGAAATAGGGTATAGATTGTTGTTTTGTGATCCCATGGACTGTAGCTCACCAGACTCCTCTCTCCATGGAATTTTTGAGGGTGTAGAAAGGTTATACAATACTGTCCGTGTTGGCCTTAAAGTCTTACCAGCTGTAAGACAAGAAGCACATTTTCTTTGGATATATACATACCTGCTTCTTTGGTTTCATTTCATGTAATTTGATTATTTACATTTAATAAATATAGACATAAAGCAGACAATGTAGTACAAAGATGTATGCTTTTCCTGATTTTCATTGTTTTTTTACACAGTTACAAGTATATCATTTTCAGATTAGTCTACTTACCCATTTCATGTAGGATTTTCTTACATTTATCTTCCTTTCCAAACTAATTCCATATATTGACTTTATTTTTTTCTATTAATTATATTGCTGTCCTCTGGTTACTCAAGCAGAATATACGAGTATATTATCATTATTATAAAATGAGATAGAAAAAACATAATTTTGTTTTGCTCCCAAAGGTAACTACTATTAAGAACATAATAAATATCTTTCCAGGTCCAAGTTTGTCTATCTTTTGTTTACCTCTGTCCTTCACTTTACCCCCTCCTCTCTCTTCTTTTTTAAATTTTAAAAGGATCATCTCCAAAATATTCTTGTTCTGACATGTTGTTTTAGACTGTAAGAACTCTTAACATGTTTATATATTTCAGTTCAGTTCAGTTGCTCAGTCATGTCCGACTCTTTGCGACCCCAGGAACCGCAGCACGCCAGGCCTCCCTGTCCATCACCAACTCCCAGAGTTTACCCAAACTCATGTCCATTGAGTTGGTGATCCCATCCAACCATCTCATCCTCTGTCGTCCCCTTCACCCCCTCTCAGTCTTCCCCAGAATCAGGGTCTTTTCCAATGAGTCAGCTCTTTGCTTCAGGTGGCCAAACTATTGGAGTTTCAGCTTCAACATCAGTCCTTCCAGTGAAGGACTGATCTCACCCAGGACTGATCTCCTTTAGGATGGACTGGTTGGATCTCCTTGCAGTCCAAGGGACTCTCCAGAGTCTTCTCCAACACCACAGTTCAAAAGCATCAATTCTTCGGTGCTCAGCTTTCTTTATAGTCCAACTCTCACATCCATGCCTGACTACTGGAAAAACCATAGCCTTGACTAGACGGACCTTTGTTGGCAAAGTAATGTCTCTGCTTTTTAATATGCTATCTAGGTTGGTCATAACTTTCCTTCCCAGGAGTAAGCATCTTTTAATTTCATGGCTGCAGTCACCATCTGCAGTGATTTTGGAGCCCAAAAAAATTAAGTTAGCCACTGTTTCCACTGTTTCCCCATCTATTTGCCATGAAGTGATGGGACCAGATGCCATGATCTTAGTTTTCTGAATGTTGAACTTTAAGCCAGCTTTTCACTCTCCTCTTTCACTTTCATCATGAGGCTCTTTAGTTCTTCTTCACTTTCTGCCATAAGGGTGGTGTCATCTGCATATCTGAGGTTATTGATATTTCTCCTGGCAATCTTGATATCAGCTTGTGCTTCTTCCAGTCCAGCGTTTCTCATGATGTACTCTGCATAGAAGTTAAATAAGCAGGGTGACGATATACAGCCTTGACTTACTCCTTTTCCTATTTGGAACCAGTCTGTTGTTCCATGTCCAGTTCTAAACTGTTGCTTCCTGACCTGTATACAGGTTTCTCAAGAGGCAGGTTTAGACCCATAGATTTTGTGGTGTGTATGAATACTTGCATGCATGCATTTATTTAGGAGTATAAGGTTATCAGTGAGTAGAAAACTATTACATTTATGACACCGACTTCTTGAAGAAGTAGGACTATTTTCCTAAAATTATGCCACCCTCTGAATAATCCTCATCATTTTCTTTACCTTGTTTCTTTATTTCCTATAAAATAGAAACTGGATCTGAAAGCTTGATAGGTCCAGATTAAACCTTTTTAACAGCAGTACTTCATGGGTAAAGTTGTCTACTTTATATTGCATCCTATCAGGATATAGGTATTGTAAGGTTCTTCCACTCTTTGGGGTTGATTGTCAGCTTTCTCCATTATACAGTTGAATCTTCCCCTGGTACCAAGTAGTCTGAGTTGGAAGGATGGATGTGTGATATTTTGAAATCTTGCAAAAATACAATTCTCCCTCAATCTTTCTTTAGTAATTTTAGTATCCATTGTTGATTCTGGCCTGAATCAGTTATTTAATTTAGATTAAAAATGATAATTTTCCATTTCTGTTATTCTTACATTCATCAGCTGGCATTCTTCTGTAAACATGAATTCTCCCTCATCAGTTACGGCTATTAGTTACCGTAGGATGTAGTTCCTACTAGAAAGGCATGATACATCTTAATATTTTCCCTTTAATTGCCAGTTTTCAGAATAAGATCTTATATAATAGTTACCTACAATGGTGACAAATGAAGTATTATGTGTTGCGTATGTTATGTTTCATTTTGCTTTTGAGGTGAGTGGGCTTTCTCTGTCTTGAGCATAATAGACACGTGGAATTTTTTTTGGAGGGGGGCTTCATTGCTTTCTTTTATTTATTTATTTATTTTTTCATTTATTTTTATTAGTTGGAGGCTAATCACTTTACAATACCACAGTGGGTCTTGTCATACATTGACATGAATCAGCCATGGATTTACATGTATTCCCCATCCCGGTCCCCCCTCCCACCTCCCTTTCTACCCAATCCCTCTGGGTCTTCCCAGTGCACCAGGCCTGAGCACTTGTCTCATGCATGCAACCTGGGCTGGTGATCTGTTTCACTATAGATAATATACATGTTTCGATGCTGTCCTCTTGAAACATCCCACCCTCACCTTCTCCCACAGAGTCCAAAAGTCTGTTCTATACATCTGTGTCTCTTTTTCTGTTTTGCATATAGGGTTATCATTACCATCTTTCTAAATTCCATACATATGTGTTAGTATACTGTAATGGTCTTTATCTTTCTGGCTTACTTCACTCTGTATAATGGGCTCCAGTTTCATCCATCTCATTAAAACTGATTCAAATGAATTCTTTTTCATGGCTGAGTAATATTCCACGGTGTATATGTAACACAGCTTCCTCATCCATTCGTCTGCTGATGGGCATCTAGGTTGCTTCCATGTCCTGGCTATGATAAGCAGTGCTGCGATGAACACTGGGGTGCACGAGACACATGGAATTTTATGTATTTAGTGTGTCAGTTATGTTTTTTATTTTATTGATACTGATCACCTCAGTCTTGTCTGCCTACTCTCTTTTGGTAATCACTTCTATCATGTTACTTCGAGGTCTTCTGTCTTTTAAATCTTTAAACATTTCATTATTATGTAAGATAATGCTGTTACCTGAAATACTTGGGAATCTATATATGAGTTATTTTCTACTGACTCTAGTGGTCATTGAATTAGGATCACTCTGGCTCCATTCCAGGAGTTCAGGCTTGAACTGAAAATTTCAAGTTCAGTCCCTCCACCAGTGCTGATACCAACAACCACTTGTTTACTCTGCTTGGGTTTCACTCACATTTTGTTTTTGCTGTTGATTGTGGCAGTGGTGTGGGAGTCTCCTGGATGTCTCTTTCTGTGTCTGGCTCAGTTGTCCTCTCGGATCCTTTCCTGATTTTCTCAACAGCCCAAAGTAAACCTTTTTTTCCTTGGAATTTCATTTAGTATTTTATCTATGCTTCTCTTAACACCTTTGTTACTTTCAGCAGTTAAAAAAAAAGTTTATATAATATCTTGTGTCTTATTAGACTATACTTTCCTTTAGGTCACTGTCATATCTTGAGGTTTTTTTGGAGTTTTTTCCCGATCCTCCAAAGGAGGCAGATTAGTAGCCCTCACATATTGTATATAGTCAACAAATTTTTATTTACTCAATGTAAGAAAATATGTTGAGATTTGTAAACTACTAAATTATTAACAGATTTTTGGAGTGTGATTAACTTTATGAGAGGTTAATTGTACTTATTCTGACTTGATCTCTTTGATATATTCCTCCTAGTAAAACACATGCTTAAGCAGTGACATAATATCAAGGATTAATAAAAATTTTGTCCTGGCAGCCATAGAAATTATAGCCCCAAACTGAGTTTTTGCTTTATAAATAAGGATGGATAGGAAAATTTAGTCAAGGTCGAGTCAAACAAGGAGATGCTACTTCAGTGGTATATTAAGTTACTGATACCATAATTATTCATGAAACATAGAGTATGACTAAGAAAGAAAATTTACTTAAGTGTGCTTCTGTTATAAAAAATTACACTGATATTCACTGTTATATTTTATGATTAGATTTATTTTGAGATAAATGACTCACTAAAATGGTATTTGAAATTAGTAGGACTGAGTAGCCAGATGGAATGCTTTCTTGTCCTCACATGAATAATTAAACTATACTGCCCAGTACATGAGGTCCTCTTTCTTTTTTGCCCACAAGCATTACATAAAATTATCAGTTAATCATTTATGTGAAACTGGCACAGTGTGAGGTGTAGTAATCACTACCTAGTAACAAATTAGTTTTGAATAGTAGCATTAACCCTGACTAACATATGACTTAGAATCTGAAATCCTAATTTCTCCATGACTGTTGAAATTATTGAAAGAGCCTGACATGCATCCTAATATAGCTATAATTTATGCCTTCTTTTCACATTATATTTAAGTGAATGAAAAGAACACGCTGCAGGAAGAAAATAAAAAGCTTTCTGAACAGCTACAGCAGAAAATTGAGTAAGTATTTTTTCATAATTGTGGCAAAAAATTGAGTATTTTCTCCTACCTTCTCTTTCTTCATTTTACTTAGCTATGCAAACTGTAAAGTTATATTAAGAATCAAAGATTTCTTTTTTAAAAATTATAAAAGTATTCTGCAGTTGAAAATACAAGGAAAATCGCTGTATTTTTGTTTTGGAAGTATATATGAAGACTTTGTGTGCATCTCTTAGCTTAGTATGTGAATGTATAAAGTATCAAAACATTTTAATTTAAAGCATTTTCATTTTTATAACTATTATAATTATTCAAATAAATTATTTGAAATACTATTTTAAATAAATACTTGAGTTTTGTTACCACCTTTCCTGCTCTGTTCTAGAAACTTAATAAAAGTAATATGAATGATTACGTCCTCTTACACATTTCTCAGGCCTAGAGAACTACTTCTTTTCCCTCTCCCCTCTCCCCCACTTTTTGTTAATAAAAATAATAACTTTTATCCTGTATACCAGTTACTCTTCTTGGTGTTCTGTGTTTATTATTTCTCATCCTCACTGTGATTCTTCAAGGTAGTTTTATTGTCTCTACTTTATGGACAAGGAATCCACATCTTACAGAAGTCAAGTAACTTGCTGTGGTCTCACAACTAGTAGATAACAAGACATCACTCAGAACCCCATCTTCTGACTTAGAAGACTCTGTCCTCTCCGTTATTTGACAGTGTCTCAAAAAAAGAATCTCTTTTTCTGGATCTAGTCTGATACAGAGAAAGAGTTATGGCCAGTTCTTAGTTCCCATTTATGTCAAGTTTATGTAATATCTTTTTAAGAGTTACAATTCAGGATAGTCTTAATGGTTTCCAAGGTAAGACTGTTGCATTTAAGTGGACATCTTCGAAAATTTTGCTAAACTATGTAGACATAACATGATTTTTCCTTAGTTATTATCTTATGTATAAACACATTTCACAAGTGGAATTAGCATCTTTATCATATCAGTGCTTTTTTTAAGTAGTGGGTGTCCAAAAAGATTTTGATATTTCTGCCATGTTAGCAGTCCACTGAATATTGATAGCCACGGAGAATTTTGAGGGGGGATAACAAATGAGGAAAGAAGGATTTGGGGCCAGACTGAGGTTATTAAACAAGTGTGTATGAAGATGTCAGCACTTACTGATTTTACTTGTGCTGAATATTGAAGTGAGGCTAGAACACAAATTCACAGTCATTTCTATATGATTCCAAAGCCTCAAATGTTTTTTTTGAAACCTTACAACATACCCTCACCTCAACTGACAAGATACTTTTTATTATTATTGTTCAGTTCCTAAGAGGCATCTGACTCTTTGTGACCCATGAAATGTAGCCCGCCAGGCTTCTGTATCCTTGGGATTTACCAGGGAAGAATACTGGAGTGGGTTGCCATTTCCTTCTCCAGGGGATCTTCCTGACCCAGGGATCAAACCCACATCTCCTGCATTGGCGGGCAGATTCTTTACCGAGGAGCCACTGGGGAAGCCCGGTTTTTATTACAGTCTTCCTTATCTGTCCCACTTCTCTGAGCATTCCTGTGCTTTCCTGTGATAAGATCCGTGTGCTTGAATGCAGGGGGTACCTCAGGCTCCACTGAAGGTGTTCTGTAACAAACTGTATATGCTCTGTATTACCCTTCACTTTTAAAAAGAACTTGAGTTCTGAACTGCATCTGGTTCAAAGATTTCAGATGAGTGGTGGCTGACCTACATTAATTTATGTTCTGTGAAGTAAAGGTCACCCCAATCATATCAGTCAGTTTAGGGCATGCATCTTTTATTTAGTACATGCCTCCCTCAGGACAGTGTAGGGGATAATCTGCTCTGTCTTTCAATTCTCTCCTGAAATTTAAGACAGTTATTCACATAAGCCAGCTTATTCTCCTCAAACATATTCCCTTTTGCTTTCAATCAGAAAAAAAGCAAGTATTATCTTGTCTGAAGTGTCTCTGATCGTTAGAAAGAAAGTATTATTTTATTTATATTTTTTCTTGCTAAATGCTGTAATTCTGATTCACCTAATCTGAGTTAGATGTTACAGATACCTTTTAAGATAGGACAGTTGTTCAATGACAGTATAGTAAATTATTTAGAAAAAGTTTTGCTGTTATGAAGTTAAAAATATATATTCAACTATACCAGTCACAGAAAGAAAATAATTAAGTAAGTTTTGAGGACATGACTCACTTTGTTTTGGGAAATGAATGTCCTGGGTGAGTGAAAGTCAAAGGAGTCTTCTTTTTTTGTTTGTTTTTTTTAACCCTCACCCTCGGCATTGAAAGTGCAGAATCCTAATCACTGGACCAGGGAAATTCCCTCAGTGTTCTCTCTTAAACTGAATTCCTGTATAACTTAAATCGCCATTGTTTAAATACCTTTTATATAGGTTTGCTGTCTCCCAAGTGTATTTAATTTTAGTGAGATGATACTGTTAGAAAGTTCTAAGTCTGGGTAGAGATCGCTGTATGGAGTGATACTTGTTGATTCTGATTTTAACTTCTGGGACCATCTGGAACAAGTTTACCCCTCCTTCTACTTGATGGCCCTTTGTGTGCATTAAAGATAGGTATGGGACCTTCCTGAGTCTTCATCATAAGTAGGTAAATATGCAGAGTAAATATTTTCTGTTCATTAACTATTCCTCATGAGAAATTACTTGAAGACTCTTCCAATTATTTCTCTTTAATGTTTCAGTTTGTCAATATTTTAATTAAGTCAATCTTCTAGGTATAGTCTGACGAGTAGAGCAGTACTGCCCACTCCATTTTTCTGTATCTTTACTTATATTGTATGTGCTTGCATGCTCAGTTGTTCAGTCATGTCCAACTCTTTGTGATCCCATGGACTGTAGCCTACCAGGCTCTTCTGCCCATGGGATTCTCCAGACCAGAATACTGGAGTGGGTTGCTATTTCCTCCTCCAGGGGATCTTCCTGATGTGGAGATCAAACCCGCATCTCCTACATTTCCTGCACTGAAAGGCGGATTCTTCACCACTGACCCACCTGGGAAGCCCTAATATTAATGTGGTCAAGATAGGTATATTTTGACCTTACTGGGTTTACTGCTAACTAGAACCTTCAAGTCAAAGTCTTCTCCTATCCTCTACTTGTAGACTTTTTGTGGTGGTATAAAAATACAGGACTTTACTAGAGTCATGACTTTGTAGGAGTTGTTGCAGAAACCTACATCAAAGGACTCTTCATTGTAAAATAAGTGCAATATTGATTAAATGCTATTTTCTGGGCATTGCATTACATTTTTACATATATCATTTCTTTCAACTTTTCCAGAAAAATGAAGTAGGAAAGTACAGTACTGTATCTAATTTAATAGATGAGGTAACTGAGACTCAGAAAGGTTAACTAACTTACCCAACATGACTAGTAAGTGTGGCTCCGATGGTAAAGAGTTCTTCTACAGTGCAGGAGACCTGTGTTCAACCCCTAATTAACCAAAAGGTGTGGCATAAACTTTTAACTTTTCTCAGAAAATCAGAATGAGACGTAATGCTTTAAAGAAGAAATTTAGTTAAGACATGGAAAGTTGTATTTTTCCTTTTTTCTTTTATGACAAAGGACAAAGGAGGACAAAGCCAGCACTTGTTTACTTAGTTTAGACACCTCTAGTTAGAGCTGGTTTTTGGGGGGGGGGGTTCCCTTTTGTGATCCCAGCTACTTCTAGGTTGACTGCCAGGAAATCAATTTCTTCTTGTGACTCATTCATGTTTCAGGTTGAATTTTTATGACTAATAGGCAGGTAGCCTATGACGTGATTAGTTAAAGCAAGGTCAGATAGATTTCACACTCCATTAATTTGTAAGAGTTTCTCATGACTTTAGCTTACTTTGTTTTTTCCAGAATAAAATGGTAATTGTAGGTAGATATTAATTCTAAAGATTTTCCTTGGAATGTAGCATAGGATTATAGACCACAATAATACTGATATTATCTAGAAAATTTAGATATAAATCTGTTAGGAAAAATTAATCTCAATTAAAAAAACTGTGTTGGTCATAGTTTATAAAAATCTCATTCTTTGGAAATATGTAGTCATACAAATTGATAGGACTATATTAGAAAAGACTGGTTTTGTCATGTAAAACTTAAATGCCTGACAGACTGATAAAAATTGTTGGCACGTAAGGTCCAAAATGGTTTGGCATGGGAAAGTCAGTTGAGTTAAAATGAATTATTTTACTCAATACCCACAATACAGTCATAACCCAGTCTTTGTGTATCTTCAGTCTTGAATTGGGCAAGAACATATGCCTAGATCAGCACGAATTTATTTTTCTAGTGGAATCGGGAATCTTCCATATTCATTCATTCCACAAATACTTATTGAGCATGTACCAGGTACCCACTGTTGCAGATACTCTGTGCTGTATCAGTGAGCCAAAAAGAGCCTTAGCCTTTTGGAGCTCACAGTTCTGGCCAATGAGCAGTAGACAAATCAATTATGTACTAGATTAGAATACAGTAACTGCTACGGATAAAGTTACAGTGGAATAAGAATAAGGAGCAGGAGTACTAGGGTGTGGGAAGGGGGTTGCAGTTTTAAATAGCATGTTTAAGGCAGGCAATGATGAGCAGGTAAAACTCCAGTAAACACTTGGAAAAGATGAGGTAATTAGCCTTGTGATATCTGGGGGTGAGCATTCCAAGCAGATGGGACAGCTGGAGCAAAGAACATAAAGCAGGAGTGTGCCTGGTGTGTCTGAGGAGCCTTGGGGAATTGAGGGTGGCGGGAATAGAATATAATTTGAAAGGGGTCAGATAGGTAATAAGGGGAGAGAGATAAACCAATCATTCTAAGGACTTTGGCTTGTGTTTTCAGTTAAGTGGGAAAATGTGGCAGGTTTTAATCAGAAGAGTGGCATAGTATGACTTGTTTTAATGGGACTGTTTGAGTCTTACTTGTAGCCAGTCATTAGTCCCATGTTCTATACCCAGGATAACAGTATTGTCTTTGGGAGTCTGGCTGCCAGGGTTTAGATCCTGTTTCTGTTACTTACTGCTACTTTTATTTTAGTAAGTCACTTAATCTCTATATCAATTTTTCCCTTTGGAAAGTGAGAGTAATATCTTATGCTTGAACTGATACATGTAGCACTTTGAAGAGTGCCTGCCATTGCAAACCTGCAACTAACATTGGTGGTATCAGTGTTCGTATTACTTCAGTTCAGTCACTCAGTCGTGTCTGACTCTTTGTGACCCCATGGACTGCAGCACACCAGGCCTCCTTGTCCATCACCAACTATGGAGCTTACTCAAATTTATGTTCATTGAGTTGGTAATGTCATCCCACCATCTCATCCTCTGTCGTCCCGTTCTCCTCCTGCCTTCGATCTTTCCCAGCATCAGGGTCTTTTCCAGTGAGTCAGTTCTTCACATTAGATGGCCAGAGTATTGGAGTTTCATCTTCAACATCAGTCCTTCTAATGAATGTTCAGGACTGATTTCCTTTAGGATGGACTGGTTGGATCTCCTAGCAGTCCAAGGGACTCTCAAGAGTCTTCTCCAACACTATAGTTCAAAAGCATCAGTTCTTCAGTGCTCAGCTTTTTTTTCTAGTCCAACTCTCATGTCCACACATGACTACTAGAAAAACCATAGCTTTGACTAGATGGACCTTTGTTGGCAAAGTAATGTCTCTGCTTTTTAATATGCTGTGTAGATTGGTCATAACTTCCCTTCCAAAGAGCAAACGTCTTTTAATTTCATGGCTGCAGTCACCATCTGCAGTGATTTTGGAGTCCAAAAAAAATAAAGTCTCCCTGTTTCCATTGTTTCCCCATCTATTTTCCATAAAGTGATGGGACCAGATTCCATGATCTTAGTTTTTTGAATGTTGAGTTTTAAGCCAACCTTTTCACTATCCTCTTTCACTTTCATCAAGAGGCTTTTTAGTTCTCCTTTACTTTCTGCCATAAGTGTGGTGTCATCTGCATATCTGAGGTTATTCATATTTCTCCCAGCAATCTTGATTCCAGCTTGTGCTTCATCCAGTCCAACATTTCTCATGATATACTCTGCATATTCGTTAAATAAGCAGAGTGACATTATACAGCTTTGTATTATTTCAGACACTGAATTTGTCATTTGCCAGTCTTATTGATATATGCAGGTCAGGAAGTAACAGTTAGAACTGGACATGGAACAACAGACTGGTTCCAAATAGGAAAAGGAGTACATCAAGGCTGTATATTGTCACTGTGCTTAATTAACTTATATGCATAGTACATCATGAAAAACACTGAGCTAGATGAAAACACAAGCTGGAATCAAGACTGCTGGGAGAAATATCAATAACCTCAGATGTGCAGATGACACCACAATTACAGCTGAAAATGAAGAACTAAAGAGCCTCTTGATGAAAGTGAAAGAGGAGAGTGAAAAAGTTGACTTACAGCTCAACATTCAGAAAACTAAGATCATGGCATCCAGTCCCATCACTTCATAGCAAATAGATGGGGAAACAGTCGCTGACTTAATTTTTTTGGGCTCCAAAATCACTGCAGATGGTGACTGCAGCCATGAAATCAAAGGACACTTACTCCTTAGAAGGAAAGTTATGACCTGACAACCTAGACAGCATAATAAAAAGCAGAGACATTACTTTACCAACAAAGATCTGTCTAGTCAAGGCTATGGTTTTTCCAGTGGTCATGTATGGATGTGAGAGTTGGACTATAAAGAAAGCTGAGCACCAAAGAATTGATGCTTTTGAACTGTGGTGTTGGAGAAGACTCTTGAGAGTCCCTTGGACTGAAAGGAGATCCAACCAGTCCATCCTAAAGGAGATCAGTTCTGGGTGTTCATTGGAAGGACGGATGCTGAAGCTGAAACTCCAATACTTTGGCCACCTGATGCGAAGAACTGACTCATTTGAAAAGACCCTGATGCTGGGAAAGATTGAGAGCAGGCAGAGAAGGGGACTACAGAGGATAAGATGGTTGGATGGCATCACCAACTCATTGGATGTGAGTTTGGGTAGACTCCGGGAGTTGGTGATGGACAGGGAGGCCTGGGCGTGCTGCGGTTCATGGGGTCGCAAAGAGTCAGACATGACTGAGGGACTAAACTGAACTGAAGTGAAAACTTATTGATTCTGTTGTCACAGTGTTTAACACTGGTCCCTTCCTTTCCATACCTATCTTCAGAATTCCAGCTTAAACCTGCAGATGCTCCTGCCTGGACTATGATAGCCACTGCTTCCTTTCTTTCTGTCCCAGCCAATCTTGCACAGTCCTGCTGGCTAGGTTGTCACATTACTGCCATCTCTAAAACCTTAATTCCTTTCTTCTTGCTTTCTAAATGATGTGCATACTTACTCGAGGCTCTCCTTCATGTAGTTCCAGCATATCCCTCTCTAACACAAGTACATGGTACTACTGCCTGCCTTTTGCAAACTTGAAGGATCCTCAGTGGATTTTCTCTGCCATTTAAAATTCTTTTAATTTTCGCCTCAAGTACCACCAGTTACACTTTCTACTTCACCTCTCACAATAATATTTTCCATCTGGTATTCTAGTCATTTGAGTATTTCTCTGATCCTTGTATTTAGGAATGTTAGATGCAAGAAGTTATTTCTCTTCCAACTTCATACCTGTGTTTGGCTGTTGTTTATTCACTCAGTCTTTGTGTCCTCCTTTTTTGCAGTCCCATGGACTGCAGCCCACCAGGCTCCTCTGTCCATGGGATTCTCCAGGCAAGGATACTGGAGTGGGGTGCCATTTCCTCCTTCAGGGGATCTTCCTGAGAGTGTTCTGCTATAGCTCATACCTTATGGTAGATGTTTTAATAAATATTTACTGAACTAATTTTCTTTTAATTTTCCTTATTTTCCTCTAGGAATGATCAGCCACATAAAGCAACTGATCTTGAATCTGAGGAAGATGTTATTCCAGATTCACCAATAACAACCTTTTCATTTTCTGGCACTAATCGGCTGCGAAGAAAGGAGAACCTCCGCGTCCGATATGTAGAGCAAACACATGCTAAACTGGAGCACTCTGGCTGTGCACATGGTGAGGATTAGAGTTGTAGCTTAGTTACCTAATTCTGTTAAAAAAAAAAAAACGAGTATTCATCTATTGTTAGGAAGATAGTCACTGTTCAGGGTAACGTACGTTACAACTATAACCTTAACTGCCATCAGTGAAGTGACTGGGAAGGTATCTTCTGCCAGTGTTATGTATAGACATGATTTGCTCATCTGAATATGTAAGCACTCAACATTTTACAAATGTAGGGAATAGTTTTTTCCTTTTTATTTAAAAAATATCCCTATGTGTATATCTGAGTGGGATACAATGAAAGAGGAAGGTAGGCTAACATTGAGTCCCACCTCCTGTATGCTGGTTATTATGCTGAGTGATTTGAATACATTATTACTGTATTTTAATTCTCACGACAGGTTTGTGAGGCAGCTTCTAGCACCTTTGTTTTATAGATGAGGAAAGATTTGTTCCTAAGAGGAGTTAAATAGCCTGTCAAGTGGATGAGTCAAAATTCAAGTATAGATCTTCCTGCCTCTAAATTTTTGTACTTTGGAAGTATTATCCATAGCTACTCCCACTAAAAGTTTAACTAGCTATTTTTAATTTTTCTAATGTGTAGCACTTGGTGGTAAATCAGGAAATGGTTTTATAATGTTTCTAGTTTGTGGCTTATCAGTGGCATATTTATTAATTCCAGGCCGGTTTACCATTTCTGGTAAATACTTTGAAACTACATTTTCATATAGTCCTGTAATTTATCCTGTGGTGTGTCACAGTGCTAATTCCTTTTAATATTGATCTAAAAGTAAATCAGTATTTAGAACTTCCATCTTTAACCTAAACTGTTTGTAACAAGGAAAGCATTTGAGGGAAAGGAGTATATCTAGTCCTAGAGATATTTTTATAATGCAGGTAAATTGTTGACAGTAGCTCTGCCTTTTTAAAAAAAGTAGTAGTCTCAATTTTTAATATTAGGAAATTGACACAGTTTTTTCCCATTTTATATGAGCCTGCATCACCATCTAGTGGAAAACAAAAGAATTGTTAAAAATCTTATACATAATTAAGAACTAAAGTAAAATGTAACATCTTGGATCTAGAATGAACATTTGTGGGCCTTTTAGTCTAATATCATATAGGACATGAATAACCACAGATAAGCATGAGCATAGTTTAGATCATGTTTAAATCTATCTGAAAGAATATCCAGAAAAACAAAACAGCAATTTTCTTTTTCAGGAAAGTCATCTTGTACAAATGCTCTTGGTTTATCTCTTTGTTTTATGAGAATAACTTGTAACTGTTTAAAACCATGTCAGTTTTAATCTTGTTCTGATCATTTTTACTTGGACCATGAAATTTTGGTTTTAAAATATCACTTTTGAGCCATGCAAATTATTTTAAAACTAATTTAATGACTAGTTACTCCTTTTCTTTTTCTAACACCCATGCTTGTTAATTTTAAAATGGTGTGTGTGTGTGTGTGTGTGTTAACCACTCAGTCGTGTCCGACTCTTTGTGGTTCCATAGACTGTAGCCCACCAGGCTCCTCTGTCCATGGAATTCTCCAGGCAAGAATATTGGAGTAGGTTGTCATTTATGCTTTTTAATGATAATTTCTAGTTATAATTAGTAAAAATCTATTCCCCTTACTTTGTCCTTCTTTTGGTTTTCTTTGAATTAAATCCTTAAGTAGTGGGATGATTTCTGGTAAAACATGTTTCAGATTTCCTTCCAGAAAATGAAAACTCTGAAATAAAGACTGAAAAGCAATATGATGCAATATTCATTGCAGATGAACCCACTGATTTCCAGCATTACACAAGGAAAGGTCACCTTAAAATATTACAACTCTAGTAGGCTTAGGTCAGAAGAAGGTTATCTGTTCCAGTCCTCTTCTCCCCCACTGTCTTAACTTCCAACTTTAATGAAACTAAAGGAATAACCTCTTTATTAGACTGTTAAAGTTATATCAATAAAATAGACTTCCAGTGGATTTAAAGATAGATTTGTATTGGCATATTAATTTTATCATGATTGTATGTTTATTTGTAATCTCTCCTGTTTTTTTCCCTTAGAATTGAAAAAAGTACCAAAGTCTTCAGCTCATCCACAACATAAGCCTAAGGAAAGTGAAATTCTAGTGGCTGACACTTGTGATCAGAGTCAAGCTCCAGTGGCTAGTAAGCAAGATACTAAGATTATAAACTGGTGGGCAAGAGTGGCCAACCATGTGAATTTAGACAATATTTTAAAATATTTTCCATGTAATTTTGTTTGTATTACTTGTTTAATAGTCTTTTTCATATTGAACAGTAATGTATTCTGTTATTAGTTCATATTAATATCCATGGACTTCCTTGTTGGCTTAGATGATAAAGAATCTGCCGGCAGTGCAGGAGACCCAGGTTCGATCCCTGGGTCAGAAAGATCTCCTGGAGAAGGGAATGGCTACCCACTCTAGTATTCTTGCCTGGAAAATTCAATGGACTGAGTAGCCTTATCCATTTTAATACAAATTGTTAGTAATTTTAAGTAAATAAGGCTTTACCATGGTTTACTCATTCATTCAGCAAATATTTGAGTGCCTACTGTATACCGGGCACTAAACAAAATAAAATGTTTAACGTCATAGAGCTTACAGTCTCGTTGGGGGAGAAAGAAAGTAAATATATGTTAGATGAAGCAGGATCTCTGAAGAAAAATAAAGCAGTGTAAGAAGAGATTTTAGAAAGTCTCACCTTAAAAAAAAGTAACATTTGAGCAGAGGCTGAGGGAAGCAGATGAGTCATGTGGATTTCAGGGCAAAGGGCATCCCAGGTGGAGACATCAGTGACCACAGAGGCCCTGAGGTGAGGATGCTCTTTGATTTGTTTGAAGAACATTAAGGAGCCCTTTGTGGGCAGGGCAGAATGAGTGAACGCGAGATTGTTTTGGGCAACTCTAAGAGGAAAGAGACTGGTAGCTGGAGGTTTGCAGGATGGAGCTGAGGGTAGGGGTGGTTAGAAATCAGGAGTTTGTTTTTGAAAATATATTGTTTCGGATACTGAGTAGACATTCAGGTAAAGATTTTGATGGGTAGGTGAATGTGAATATAGATGAGTCTGGGATAGAGGTGGTTGTTAGCATGTAGGGGAGATCTGAAGCCATGAGACTGGGTGAGATTGCCAAGCAAGTGAATGGTGATGGGAGAAGTAGTTCCAATACTTAGGCACAAGGCTTTCCATCATGGAAAGGAGTGATTTTCAACTGTATTTTATTGTCACTCCCATCTGGCCGTTTTAGACATTTTTCCCCCTCCAATTACTTCCTCCATGGAATTTTAATATAGCACAAGAAATCCATTTAATTAAATATTTTTAATGATAATTTTTTCAGTGGCAATAAGCCTGCAATGTATTGCAATTTATAGTAGGTATTTTGGGCTTTATAAAACAGAATTTTTAAAATTGTGCAGTGCCATTTTGTAAAGTGGTCCTTTGAGCTTTTTCTTTGCTTTTTTGTACGTTTTCATATGGCTAGTTTCTACAGTTATAATTTTTTTTTTTTTCCTTAAACTTAGAACCACATGGAAAAAGCAGTTATCTTCCTGATAGTTTAGCTACAGTGGTTGCTGAAACACTTGGACTTTGTGTTCAAGAAGAATCTGTAAGTAATTGTTTAGTTTGGTAATAAATATGAATTAATTAGTGTCCTTTGAGATCAGTTTTTAGAGAATAAAGCAAGAGAAAAAGATTTTTTATCCAATGATTATTAGATAAAGGCCTAGAACAAAATTGATGTCACTAGAAAAGGCTCATTTATATTATTCACTCCAGGCAGTTAAAGAAAACTCTATCAAGTCTTGAGAATTCTTTGGATATAGGTTACCGGTTGAGTCAGAATTTAGATGGCTTAATAGGGAACTCTGCTCAGTGTTATGTGGCAGCCTGGATAGGAGGGGAGTCTCGGGAGAGTGGATACATGTGTATATATATATGGCTAAGTCCCTTTGCTGTCCACCTGAAACTATCACAGCATTGTTAATTGGCTGTACTCCAATAAAAAGTCAAATAATGAAAAAAAAACTTACATGGCTTAGAGGATTTAGCCAAACCTCTTCCCTATCCCCTCTCCTCCCTACCCTATTCCAACTTAAAGAGAAGATTTAAACCTTTAGATTGAGTTCAGAGTTTATTGGATCTTTTTGACATCCTTTAAACTGGGCTTTGATTTGGAAAACAAACTAAATTCTTGGGTCTACTACAGATGCTTTAATTCATCTTTGTCCTTACAAATGCCAATCCAGTTAGACCACATCCTTAGGGATTGACTCAGAAATTGACCCCATGATTTTCTTTTCATTATTTAGTGCTTCCTTACATCAGATACATTTACTCTTTTTTCTTAACCAATCTCTAAAAAATGGAAGCCTTGAATTCATCAATCTTAAGGAAACTTCATTTTGATACAGCTTTAAAACATATCCCTTTGCTTTAGTCAGTAAATTGTATAGGCTCTTATAAAGTTTTCTTGCTGTTGAATTTCCAAAACTGAATTGACTTTTGATTACATTTGAATGTTTTTTTTGCACGGGGTGGGATGGGGTTCTTTCTACTTTTAGAACTAACTACAAGTGATGGTGGTTAGTTTTTACCCTTTGAACTCTAAACATGTTTTAACTTTTTAAAATCCCCTCCTACCAATAAACCTGGCATGTCAGTAGTTTAGACACCAAATCCATTGAGGGAACTGATCTCTGAAGATTTGCTGCTCAAAGTGTGATCTACAGTCCAGCAGCATCTTCATCCCTGGAAGTTTGTGAGAGATAGAAAATCTTAAACCCAGCCCAGACCTACTGAACGATAACTTCTGTTTTCATAGGACCCTCAGTTGATTAATGTGTATGCAAAAGTTTGGGAAGCACTTGTTCTTTAAAGATCCTTTTAAATTCGTCTCCTATAAGTATAAATAATCATCTCTGTTCCCTTCCTTTCATCTAACTAATCTGGTTTTTTAAAATTAGCAACTATCAGTCTGCTTTCTGTCCTTAAGAATTTATGTATTCTGGATAACTTATTTAAATGGAATTATATGTGGCTTTTGGGTCTGGCGTCTTTCACTTAGCCTGTTTTCGAGTTCATCTGCATTACAACATGTATCAGTATTTCATTCCTTTTTAAGAATAATCCTCCATTGTATTTATGTACTTTATATTTTATTATTGAAGGAATCTCAAGGCCCTCGGAGCCCTCTTGGTGATGAACTCTATCACTGTCTGGAAGGAGATCACAAAAAACAAGGTTTTGAGGGATGTAGAAGAAATAGTGAAGATAATTTAAGGTAATTTGGGGCACTTTGGTAAAAACTTATAAACTGTCAATGAAATTCCATTGCAATGAGTTCCACAGATTTAAACTATTTCTCTCCCTCAGCTTGTTACTCTGGTTGTATTAATTTTTATAAAAAAAAATATTTCCCCCAGTTTATGACCTGTTGAGGGCTTTTTGCATTATTGTAGAGATCGGGATGTTACTATTAGGTTCTTTTTGTACTTCTATCAAGCAGTGCTTCAGAGGTCCCAGCCTCATCTCTTTTTAGGATCCAGTCATCCCTCCTGGATTTGCATTTTCTAAAACTGAATGTTGTATGAAATCCATCATTAGCTCCGATGAGCTTTCAAGATTGGGATACACTGTTGCTTTTACTAATTTTAGAACATCCATTAACAATACTGTATTTATGTAGCATTTTGCTTTTTAAAAGAGTTTTCAATATTAAATACATATATCACATTTAATTGTCATTATACTAAGTCATTAGAGTAGGTTTTATTACCCCCATATTTTACAGTCAACAAAAATACAACCCCACAGAGGTCAAATGTCTTTTTAAGACCACACAACTATTAAGTGGGCTTCCGGGGTGGTGCTAGTGGTAAAGAACCTGCCTGCTATTGCAGGAGATGTAAGATGCATGTTCAGTCCCTAGGTCAGGAAGATTTTCCCTGGAGAAGGGCATGGCAACCCACTCCAGTATTGAGTATTCTTGCCTGGAGAATCCCATGGACAGAGGAGCCTGGTGTGCTACAGTCCATAGGGTCACAAAGAGTCGGACATGACTGAAGCAGCTTAGCCTGCATGCACAACTATTAAGTAAGAGAGTCGGAGCTCTTAGCCATTCCACTTCTTCAAACTTAACCCTAGTGATCTTTCTACTACCCCAGCTGTCTCCTCTGCTACAGGTAGGCAGGGTCATGAGTTACGTTCTGTTTTTTAGTATAAGAATTTTATTTCTTAGAGTTACTCTTGATGAGATTTCATAACAACAAAAGAATTTGGGATTTGTTCAAATATTTTCTTATATAGTGTATTTAAGTTACTTTGGAAAAATATTTATAGATAGGAATATCATGGTTATTGAGATAGGTTTGCTGTATTATTTCCCTCTGCTTTTTGTCAGCCAAATAAAGAAAAGCCAGTAACTGAATCATATCTTAAATTTTGGTCAATGATCTGCTTCTAATATGTAGATAAGACCTTACTGTTAATAATTCTGTATTAGCAAAAGTTTTCTCATTATGCTTATCTTTTAATTTTTACCCTGTTTCTTTAATAGGAAAAAACTTTTACCACTCTTTATTTTTTTAGGTTTTCAGATTCAAAGACTCCTCTTCAAGAAGAATTGACTACTCGGGTATCATCTCCTGTATTTGGAGCTACCTCTAACGTGAAAAGTAGTTTAGGTTTGAATACAAGTTTGTCCCCTTCTCTTTTAGAGACTGGGAAAAAAACCCATCTGAAAACAGTGCCCCTCAGCAACACTTGTGCTTCTGGACTAGAGAAACCTAGATCAAAATCTGAAGACGGAGCCCTTATCACACATCATCTTCTTGGGACTGAAGTAAACAAGATCCCTAATCAGTCATCTTCTAATAAGCAGATGCTTATAAATAAAAATACAAGTGAACCCCTAAGTGAGCAGGATAGTATTGATCACATTAAAGATACTGATAAAGATAAACATGTGGTACCCCTGAAGTCACTGGGAGGCAGAACCAAAAGGAAGAAAATTGAGGAAGAAAGTGAAGATGAAGTAATCTGTCCCCAAGCCTCCTTTGATAAAGAAAATGCTTTTCCTTTTCCACTGGATAGTCATTCTTCCATGAATGGAGACTATGTGATGGATAAACCTCTGGATTTGTCTGATCGATTTTCAGCTATCCAACGTCAAGAGAAGAGCCAAGGAAGTGAGAACTCTAAAATCAGGTTTAGGCAAGTGACTCTCTATGAGGCTCTGAAGCCCATTCCAAGGGACTCTTCCTCAAGCTGCAAGGCCTTGAGCAGGAGCTGTGAGCTAAGCAAAGACTCCCCAGAAGAGCCCTGTTTACAGGAGTCCCTTTTCCAGTCCTTGAATAAATCTCCAGATAATAAAACACTGTTACAAATAAAGGAAGAAAACACAGTATTTAAAATCCCTCTTCGTCCACGTGAAAGGTTGGAGACAGAGAATCTTTTTGATGACAAAAAGGTATGTGTTCAGTATTCAAGAGTTTTGATTAAAATGATGGTTTGTGAATTTTCCTTAGATGCTAATAATTTTTTCTGTTTTAGGGTGCTGGTTCTCATGAGCCTATAAAGATAAAAACCAGATCCATCCGTGGAGCATGTGAAGTTGCATCAGTTCTTCAGTTAAATCCATGTAGAATTGCTAAAACAAAACCTCTACAAAACAACCAAGGTATGTAAACTATAAATAGCATTTCCACTCTCTTTTTAATGAATTTATATTGAGTATTGTAATTTATTATTTACATTCTTTGGATAGATTTCATTGTTTCTGGAAAAAATAGTTTATCCCTGTGTGTTTCTGTGTTTATAGTACAAGTCTTACTGGTTTCACCTTAAAATTTTCCTGCTCTTCTGCTTTTTGAAAAAATAAATCGAAATCTTTAATACCTACTTTTATAGGTAATTTTATAGATTTCTTTTATGTAGTTGTTTCTTGTTTTCTTTACAAAAAGAAAGCTTTAAAAATTTAAACTATACAGATTTTTATTTATTTATTTTTTTCATTTATTTTTATTAGTTGGAGGCTAATTACTTTACATATTGTAGTGGTTTTTGTCATACATTGACATGAATCAGCCATGGATTTACAAGTATTCCCCATCCTGATCCCCCTCCCACCTCCCTCTCCACCCGATTCCTCTGGGTCTTCCCAGTGCACCAGGCCCGAGCACTTGTCTCATGCATCCAGCCTGGGCTGGTGATCTTAAACTATACAGATTTTTAAAATATAAAAGTAGAAATTTATCATCCAAACCTTGTTCCTTACCATATAGATAGCCAGTCCTTTTTTTTGTATATTTATATTTATATTTATATATATATATATATATATATATATATCTTAACTATTTGTATATACAAATTTATATGGGTTTTTAAACTTCTTGTTTGAAAACATTGTTTGCCCTTTCATTACTTCATATGCCGTATTTATTCCTTATTGGAAACTTATTCCTTCATCTGCATTTATTTTCCTTTTTTCCTGAAGCTCATTCTTTTTAGTAATTCTTCCAGTGAGGGTTTCAGTCTCTATATGAAAACACTTTTTTTAACTCTTATTCCTGATCTTTTTTTTAATCTTTCTGTTTTTATTTTTATTTTTTCTGTGGTTGCTGTAGGGATTGTGGTTTACTTACTTAACCTTTCACAGTCTACTTTGAGTTAATACTGTACCACTTTATACTCTATAACTGTACCTTATGTAGTTGTCATGTATATTAATGTACATTGAAACCTCCTCCAGTGTTAGTTTTAACTTAAATTTTTTTTATTGAAATAAAAATCAGTCATTAAAGTGTATAATTTGGTGGTTTTGATGTAGTCACAATGGTGTCACCATCACTGTACTCTGAAGTTTAGAACATTTTCATCACCATACAAAGAACAGTACCTGCTAGCAGTCAGCCTCTCTCGTCTTCCCCAGTCCTAAGCAGCCACTTAATCTACTTTCTGTTGCTATAGATTTGCATATTCTGAAGTAGTCATATAAATGGAATTGTACAATATATGATATTTCATGACTTCTTTCACTATTTCAGTTTTTTCACTGTTAAAAGTAATCCTGGTTTGAACATTGATATACAATTTTGTGTGGATGTAAGTTTCATTTTTCTTGAGTTATACCTAGAAGTAGAATTGGTGGGCCACATGCTAACTCCGGGGCTTCCCTGGTGGCTCAGACGGTAAAGAATCTCCCTGCCATGCGGGAGACCTGGGTTCTAGCCCTGGGTTAGGAAGATCCCCTGGAGGAGGGCATGGCAACCCACTCCAGTATTTTTGCCTGGAGAATCCCCATGGACAGAGGAGCCTAGTGGACTACAGTTCACAGGGTCACAAAGAGATGGACAGGACTGAACGACTAAGCACAGCACATGCATGCTAACTCTATATTTAGCCTTTTGAGGAGCTATCTGTCTTTTCCCAAAGGAGCTACATCAGTTTATATTCCCACCAGCAGCATGTGAGAGTTCCTGTTTCTCCATATTCTCACCAACACTTGTTTTCATTGTCCGTCTTTTTGATTCTAGCCATCCTATGGTGTGAAGTTATTAATATGTCTCAACTGTGCTTTTGGTTTGCCTTTTCTTTGATGGCTAATGATGTTGAGCTTCTTTTCATGTGCTTACTGGCCATTTTCATTTTCTTTGAAGGATTGTCTATTCAGGTCCTTTGCTTATTCTCAGTTGGAGTGGTTGTCTTATTATTGAATTGTGAGAGTTCTTTATGTATCCTCAGTATAAGTCCTATTAAGACACATGATTTGGAAATACTTTTCTCATTCTGTGAGTCCTATAATGTTTTAAAGTAATGAGAATTTTAAAAATCTGTTTTTAATTGTGTATTTTTTCTCCTTATCTAAGATGTATCCTTTGAAAATATCCAGTGGAGTATAGATCCAGGAGCAGACCTTTCTCAGTATAAAGCGGATGTTACTGTAGATGATACAAAGGTAAGTTAGAAAGTAGAATCAGAGCCCATGTGGTTATTCTAGTGTATTGTTAGTCACCCTGCTCCCCTGATTCATTCTGTGACCTTGAGAGAGTCACACACCTCTTACAACAGTCATATATTTATTCAGAAAACTACAAAATAATTACATTTATTTTTCAATTTTATGGTATTTTTGAAAGGGTAATAATACTTTCTGACTTTTTAGAAACATTTGCTGAAAAATATAGTTTTAAAATAATGTCAAATGCTAATTACATATTAAATAATTTAATTTTTTATCAAAATAATCTATCGTATGCATTGATTAACTTAACATACCTTCAAGAAAAAAATTTCATTTTTCCTAGTTGGCTATTTCTTTAAATGCTGTGTATTTTCTTTTTAGTTAACATTCATAGCAGAAATTACTTTTTTGGCTTGTATTTAGGTTCTACATAGTTTGAGAAGTTCTCTTGCACATGGTAGCATATTAATAAAATATTTAACAGTTGCTAGAGTAATCCATAGCCATCAAGAAGTCAAATTTGACTTACGAACTTTTCAGTGTACATTGATGTTCATTTCTGTGAAGCAGATTAGGGAGGAAAGGAAGCTCCAGGGATTTTGGTAACATACAGTTCTCTCTTCCTTGGCAGCAGTCCTTTTCCTGGACTTGAGAGATGATGCTTGTATATCAAAGCTAATACATTAGGTTTAAATGCCTGTAAAATATATCTATATTCCTTTGGGTAAAAGTAAATATTACTTAATGCTACTGAAGTGTAAGTGTAAACTTAAAAAATGGTTTAAATGGTAACACTTATGTTATGTATATTTTTACCACCCCCCTCCACCAAAAAATAACTATAAGGGATAACGGTTAAAATTTTGAATTTTTAAACATTTATTCAGGATGGCAGTCAGTCAAGATTAGCAGGAGAGACAGTGGACATGGACTGTACGTTGGTTAGTGAAACCATGCTCTTAAAACTGAAGAAGCAAGAGCAGAAGGAAGAAGAGAGTCCAAGTAAGATTTGTTTTGTTTGTTTGTTTGTTTTTTAATTTTAATACAAAGTGGAAGGAAGTTTATAGTCATACCATTGCACTGAAGAGCATAAATGACCTTTTCACCATAAATCAGTTACCCCCCACCCGCCACTAATAGTAGACTTCTCTTTAGTAAAACTTAGTTTCCATATTTCAGCAAAAAACAAAAACCTTTAGTAAAAAAATTTTTATTTCCAAAAGAATTCAAGTCGTGTCCAGGGGTCAGCAAACTTCAACCAGCTGCCAGTTTTGTCAGTAAATTTTTGCTGGAACCCAGCCTCAAACTCACTTGTTTAATTTATTGCCTACGGCTGCCTGTGTGACACAGCAGCAGAATTGAGTAGTTTCTGCAGAGACCTTATGGCCCCACAGGCCTAAAATATTTAGTGCCTGACCCTTTAAGAAAGTTTCCTGATCCCTTGTTAAGATAATTTTTTCATAAAAGGTATAAAGGGAATCTTGAGAGTCCTGTTTTAGAAATATTATTTTCCAAAGCAATTTGATAAGGAGAAAAAGGGTGGATTCTACTGAGAAGTATTAGTTGTTCAGTTGCTAAGTCTTGTCCGACTCTTTTGACTCTCTTTAGTACAGATTTGCAAATGAGCGGTAAACTCAGACTAATAGTGTATATGATGAGTGACTCTGCCATTTTTTTTTTCTGTAGAAAAGGAGATTTGGCTAAACTAGGGGGTCTACAGCACTTTGTAGTAAGAAACTGATAATTCTTCATCTAAAGCCTTGATTTTTTGAAAGAGGTGGGAACAGTGGAAGGATTTGGGTTGGCACCACCTTAGCAATGTTTCTGATATAGAGGCATGTGACACGAGATCAACTAGACTGTGAATAGTTGTCATTCATCACCCTCACGTGTTGAAGAGTTAGGACCTGCCACATCAGGATGCAGGGCTAAAAGCAGAGGCATTTTCCAATGATCCTCTGTTAGAAACTGAGGACACTCAAGACTGTTTGTGCATTTCCTGTATTCTCCAGCCTACCTGCTCAGGGTCCCAGGTCTTGTTCTTGCTTCTTGTGCAAAACAGAAAAAGAGAAACAGATGTACAGAACAGACTTTTGGACTCTGTGGGAGAAGGCGAGGGTGGGATGTTTCGAGCGCACAGCATCGAAACATGTGTATTATCTAGGGTGAAACAGATCATCAGCCCAGGTTGGATGCATGAGACAAGTGCTCGGGGCTGGTGCACTGGGAAGACCCAGAGGGATCGGGTGGAGAGGGAGGTGGGAGGGGGGAACAGGATGGGGAACACATGTAAATCCATGGCTGATTCATGTCAATGTATGACAAAAACCACTACAATATTTAAAAAAAAAAAAACCACCTTATCTCTCACTGCAGTAAATGCAGTAAGTAAGAAAATTTTAACAGCCTTTTCCTTAATTCTTTGTTCTTTAGTAATGAATAATTATCCATACAATCAAACAGCTGGCTGCCTATGGTGAAAAGGACAGTAGTTACTAAAAGGAAAACCTTAACAGTGATTTATTGTCTTTTTATAGTGAATGACACTTACATAACTTTCTTCTTAAGAAGATGACTTTGCTTTTAAGATTATTTTGTTCCTGGTACCAGTTCCTGATGTTTTCCTCAGTTTTGTAGAAAAGGGCAAAACTAAAGTATGGCAGCTTTGACTTCTAATTTATCTAGTTAATCTAAGAAGATGATAGCTTCCCAAATATATTTGAAACAAGTAGCTTATGGAGGTGAAATTAGAACTTAAACTAATGAGTGGAGATAATTTCAGCTAAATAAGGCATAATGAATACTGTTGGTGTAAAATAAGTCGCTCCAGTAAATCAGAGGATTAGAACAATAGCGATTTTTTTTATCTTTCATAGTTTCTGTGCCTCAGGAATTCAGGAAGAGCTGGGCTGGGTGGTTCTATCTCAGGGTCTCATACAGATAGTGGCTGGAGCTGGAACAGCAGAGGACTCGATAGATGGGAGACTCTTGGCTCCTCTCTCATCATTCAGTCTCAGGGTTTCTCCATACAGTCTTTCCATGTGGGCTCGTTTGAGCTTCCTTACTGCACAGAGACTAGGTTCCCAGAGTAAGCATCCCCAAAGAGCAAGGCCGAAGTGCACAGCATTTTTATGATCTGGACTCAGTAGGAGGAGTGCCATGATCACATTTATAAGAACAGCAGGTGGGATAGGAGATACTGTTGAGCTCATACTTAGGAAAAAACAATCTGCCCATTTTACCCATAAGGTAGGTTTTTTTCATACTTAGAATTGATGAAATATAAGCTTAAAGATGAAACATACCATTAAATGGTACTGCTAATATTCAGTTCAAAAAAAATTTTTAATATCTGTGTTTGACTTAGTAGATGCTATGGTAGATATATATCCTTATATATCAAAATAGGATGTAGTCTGTCCTCAAGCATTTTACAGTCAGACATCAGCAACAAAAAGAAATCATTAACTTACTATGATTTACTGACAGCATATACAGAATGCTTTGGGAATGCCTAGCGCACAGGAATTATTTTTACTTACAAATTTAATCCTCAGAATGAAAAATGAACAAATGTTTCATCATTCAGTAATTATGGAGACACAATTCTGTATCAGGAACTGGAGCAAATCATAAACAAAAGTACCTGCCTCTCATGGAATTTACGTTGTAATAGGGGAGAAACAAGTGTTAAGTGCTAGATGATGGTAAGTGCTGGAGAAAGAGAAAACGGGCTGAGGTGCTAGAGCATCTGCACTGGGAGAGGCGGTAGTAATTATTAGAGTAATCCTGGCAGGCTCCAGTTTTGTCACATTTGTTAGCCGACTGAATTTCTTTCTATTTTTGGTAAACTGGTGTTTTTAAAAATGTGATTATATAGTGGAAATGTATTAGCTTGGCCCAAAAGTTCATTCGGGTTTTTCCATACCATCTTACAGAAAAACCCAACAAATTTCTTGGCCCACCTAACAGTTAGTACTCTGAAGATGAAATTAGTATTTGCATATCAAATATGGAATTGAATTCACTATTTCTATAACACTGAACTACCAAGTGTTCATAATAATGCAAGAAAATACTTCTCTGCTACATTAGAAAAATAAAGAACTAAACAAAACTATTATAGAGATTTTTATGTCAGTTATTTATACACAGTTTCTTTAAACTTCATATTTTTCACCATTTATTATTGCTGTATTTTCTCTTCCTCACAATTCCTTTGGTAGTTCCTTTTGGTTTACTATGAATTATACATGAGCTGATAGAAAAAAATGTTTTAACATTTATAATGACAGTAACAAAAACCCAGCATTTTCTTCACATAAATAAAGGACAGTTGAAGGCATAACATTAAAAACCTTTGTAAATGTACAGTAATTACCCAGACTTGGGGTTTATTCTTGCCTAATACACATCTAAATTATTTTGTGGCAGTTCTTACAAGTTTCTATGTATTAGTCTACCTAGAAAGCAAAACGCTTTCTTACGGCCTAAGCCGATGCTCTTTCACATAGATGGAGAAAGAAAGATGAATGATAGCTTGGAAGACATGTTTGATCGGACGACACATGAAGAATATGAGTCCTGTTTGGCAGAGAGCTTCCCCCAGGTGGCAGATGAAGAGAAGGAATTGTCAACTACTACAAAAAAAACAAACAGTAAGGCAATTTTCTTTCAAATTATGTTTTTTTTCCATTACACTGAGTTTAGTAAAGTAAGTTATCAATCTTATTAACAGAGGCCTAATGAGGTATCTTAACAATTAAAACTTGATGTTTATTGAATAAATTTTTTTTTCAGTTTTTTTTAAAGATAATTTCAGAGTAATAGAAGAGTTACCAAAAATAGTTCAGAGGGTTATGCTTCAATGAAAAGAAGATATTTGAATGGCCAGTAAGCACATGAAAAGCTGGCCAACACTCTTGAACATCAGGGATGGTGACAATACTTCACACCCACAGAAATGGTTGGAAAGGTGGATAACATGTATCTCTAGCAAGGGTGAAGAGCAGCTGGAACTCTCGCATTGCTGTAGTAGAAAATTGGTTATACTTTGGAAACCAGTTCAGCAGGGGGCTTTTTAAACAGCTTTATTGAGGTCAGTCACTTGTTTGTAAAGTTAAGCATATACCTGTGTTGTGACCTAGCAATTCCACTGTTCGGTATATACCCACAAAAAATGAAAACATGTTTATACTACTTCACAATGAAAAGGAGGTAACTACTAGACTCAGCAACATGGGTTAGTCTCCAAAATTTGTTGAGCTAGACAAATGCAAAAGATGGAAAAGAATATATGGTATATCATCTCATTGATATGAAGTTCTAAAACAGACATAACTAAGCCACAGTGATAGAAATTAAATGAGTGACTGAAGGGGAGGGAAGAGACATGAGAGAATGTTCTTGTGCGTGAGAGACAACAGAATAGGTAACTTGCGTGGACGTGTTCAGTATCTTGATTTGGGTAGCAGTTACACTGGAATATTGGAGAAGGAAATGGCAATCCACTCCAGTACTCTTGCCTGGAAAATCCCATGGATGGAGGAGCCTGGTAGGCTACAGTCCATGGGGTTGCAAAGAGTCAGACACGACTGAGCTACTTCACTTTCACTTTCTACGCTGGAATATACACTAGTCAAAATTCATCTTAGTGCACTTAAAATCAGTATATGTAAATTATGCCTCAATAAAGTAGATGGTTTTAAAGTCTTCAGTGGCTTCCCAGTGCACTTAAAATTCAAACTCCTTCTCTTGGCTCCCAAGGCCCATCATGGTTGGGTACCTGCCCACCTAACACCTAACCCTGCCCCCATCTTTCCCAACACTTCCTTTTTTTGGCTGAATTAATCACACTGTCCTCTTTTTACGTCATATAATGTACCAGACTTTTTGCCATTGAGGACCTTTACCTAGAACATTCACCATTCGTACTCTTGTCATGACTGACTTCTCTTTAATCATTAGTTATTACCTGAGATATTCAAGTAGCCTCAGCTGTCTGCTTGCTTAATGTCTGTTTCCCTCACTACAGTGTAAATTCCATGAGGACGGCAGACCTGGCTTCCCCTGTTCTACATTAGCACAATGCTCAATAAATTTTCATAATTTGAACAGATGATAGCAATTAGCTATTTGAGTCTAGACAACTTGAAATTCAAGTCCAGGGGCTTTCATTCCTATTCTGTCACCAGTTTTCTAATAACATTTTTAAATCTTTCTATTTCCTATTTATCAACTACCTTAAAGTCACATTATAAAAGTCAACAGGACTAATAAGTGAACAGATTAAAACCTATCTTGTTATTGTCATTTGGTGCCAAATGATAATAGGCATCTAAGTAGTTCTTTAAAGTCTAAAATACTCTTATGGTTATGATTTTTATCTCTTCAGTAATTCTGAGGTGAGATAATCAGCACTCTTCTTATTAGGCAGATGAAAAAGAAAGGAAAGAATTCATTACAGAGAACTTAAACTAATTGCCTAGGGCCTAGAGTATGAAATCCAATAAAAATAGATGTTTTGGAATATGTCTTTTTTTTCCCCACAGAAAAACCAAATTACTTTTCAGTAAGTTCTACAATAAGTTTGTGGTATGCTTGTTTTGTTTATAGCTCCTGGTGATAAACAAGATAAAGTCAAACAGAAAGCATTTGTGGAGCCATATTTTAAAGGTGATGATAGGTATGTTGGCCTTGGTTAATACCAGCAATATGACTGGGAGTACAACAGAACTATCTTTGTCAGAGCATGTCTGAACTGTGAAAATTGCTACTTTGGTTAAAATAGAATGCCCCTTCCGACCATAACAAAACTGGAACTCAGGTATAAAAAATGACAAATTTTGAAAATAAGGAAGTTTTTTTTTTACCATCACACCGTTTTTTGGATGGTGGTGACAGTTATTTTTTCTGCTTTATTATAACATACTTTATTCTTATCCTATTTTATTGTGAACTTTATTTGAACTTCAGAAATTTGTTGGATACTGTAACTTGGGCTTCCCTGGTGACTCAGCTAGTAAAGAATCCGCCTGCAATGTGGGAGACCTGGGTTCGATTCCTGGTTGGGAAGATCCCCTGGAGAAGGGATTGTCTACCCACTCCAGAATTCTGGCCTGGAGAATTCCATGGACTGTATAGTCCATGGGGTCGCAAAGAGCTGGACATGACTAAGTGACTTTCACTCACTAACTAGGTGGCAAACCTTAGGTTTGTGCTTCAGAATTATTTTAGGAGAATTTTTAAATCTTAAAAAAAATTTAAACAGAAACAGATGAGATTTTGAGCAAAGGACATGACTAAATTCTGTATAAACTTAGGAATCCATAAACTGTTTGAAAGAAAATATAGTTGTAGCAATATTGTTTTATCTCTTCTTTGTCTTCCTTTTTAAGTTCACTGTTGATCCATAATTGAGAGTTGGATTTATGCAAAGTAAGGACCTCGAACCTTACACGTTTTGAAATAGAGCATGTAAAGCTTTCCTTTGAAGAACAGCACTGCCAGCTATCAAAATACCTCAAAAGAGTAGATCTGATACCCACAAGTCATTTTAAAATATCTTTTCTCTTTGAGTCAGACTGTTTAAATTTACTGGGGTTATTTTCTATTATAAACAAATGATGATGTTACATAAGTCTTGGCTTACTTCTAAGTTTGGAGTCTTCTATATTGGGCTTCTTAAGGCAGGATACAAGTATATTAATAAAGATTCCTGATTGCTTTTTCTGACCAAAGTACTGCATACCTCATTAATCTGTAATACCTCAGTAACTTTGACCCTTCCTAGGTTTCCAGTGGTTCATAGTAGGATCTGATCCATTTAAAGTGAAAGTGCTAGTCACTCAGTCCAACTCTTTGCAACCCCATGGACTGTAGCCCACCAGGCTCCTCTGTCCATGGAATTCTCCATGGCAGTAGTACTGGAGTGGGTAGCCACTCCCTTCTCTGGGGGATCTTTCAGACCCAGAGACCAAACCTGGGTCGCCTGCCCTGCAGGCGGATTGTTTACCATCTGAGCCACCCAAGCACAAATGATAGTTGTGTCTAATATTCTGAAGAATTTAAGGTGGTGGACAGAAGCAACAAAAGAAATTGTTAGAGAAAATAGCAAATTACATGCAGACAAATGAATCTGTTCTTTGGGGAGAAGCAGGTTAGCCCTGATACATGGTTTCACAGTACTAGAAACTGAGTCAACAGAGGCAGTAGTCTCTCTCGGTTATGTTATTGAATACCAGTTACTGAGTTTAATAATATAGCATTCCTTTTTAATTAGGTTGTTTTATAGTTTACCACACAACCTAATAACTAATTTCAGCCAGCCAGAGGCAAAAATAGGAAGTAATAGTTATCTTTTTCAGTTAGAGAAAAGTATCTGTAAAAATAACTGATATGTAGTAGGCACTTACCATTTTAGTGAAGAGAGATGAAGAAATGCTTTTGTCTCTCACATACTGAGGAAGCATTTCAAATAAAATGAATGAATGGGGATTATTTTTCCTCTGGATGCTCACGTTTGCTAATTTAAAATGTAAACCAAAGGTCGCTATAGTAACAGATTAATTTATTTTTCCCCCAGAGAGACTGAATTACAGAATTTTCCTCATATTGAGGTGGTTCGGAAGAAAGAAGAGAGAAGAAAATTACTTGGACACACATGTAAGGAATGTGAAATTGTAAGTACAAATGTAAACACTGTCATTTGGGTTTTTTTTGAAGTTATGACTTCATATGCATGATTTAAAAATCATAGATATAAACTATATTTGTATCTAGAAACAAGTTTGAGCCAAGAATAACAGAATAATACATAGAATATACAGACTGGCTGGGACCTGAGAGATATAAATAGATGAAAAGGAAAGCCCTCCATTTCTCTTAGATTCTCTTTAAGTGAATGTGGAGCCTCAGTACTAGTTCTTACTTCTAGCTTAAGACATTTATGCCATTTGTTTTTTCTATATTTATTTGTATTTCTTTTAATTTTTTCCCCTTGTGTTATATTATAGTGGAGACTTTAATACATATACTATTGGGGAAAATTTTGATATTTCAGTCAGAAACTTTGCTGTAACATTTTTTGCTTAAACATCAGCACTCAGGAAATGAAGTATACTCATAATTTTTTTTTCTAAATAACCAGTATAACCATAAGCTCTTTTTTTTCCCCCTAAACATTTTCCTTTCTAAAAATAGAATGAACAGATTCTACTCCATCCTTAGAACCCACCTGCATTTTCCTTTTTTATTTTGGGTGTCTTGGACTAGATGTATATCTTAAAGTAGATTGTACTAATTGTTCTGTTACTGAAGAGTCCTAGGAGATTCTGTGTTTTTCTGAAACTTGCTGTTTTTGTTTCTTCTCTTGCTGTCCTTTAGCTGTTGGATACTTGTTTCCAGCAATGTATTTATTTCCCCCTTAAATTTTCTTTTTAAAAACTATAGCTAGAAAATCCCATGGACAGAGGAGCCTGGCGGGCTGCAGTCCATAGGGTCACACAGAGTTGCACACAACTGAAGTGACTTTGCGTGCACGCACACACACACACACACACACACACACACAAGCACATTAAAGTTATGTGTGAATAGGTTACAGTGCAGGTAAGCATTTGGTGAGACATGCTCTCATAAACTAACAGAGTGTACACTGAGATCACTAATTTGGAAAGCAGTTTGGAGATAACAAGCAAACCCTCAATATATCATGAGTTTTCATAAAACAAATTGAATATATCATGTGATCTATACTAACTGAACCTCCAGTTTTTAGTTATAACTGGAACTGAAATTACCAATTAGAAAAAACTCTTTCACTGGAAACAATTTACTTTCCTTCTCAGAAATCATTTTTTTGTGCTGTTATCCAGTTTCTGAAAACATTGTTTCATGTGTTTTATCCCATTTTTTTTTTTTTAGTTTTTTAAGATAGAGTGTAAATCTGTTCCCTGTTATTCCTTCATGACCAAGAGTGAAAGTGCCAGTCACATGTATCTAAATACGATCTATCTACTTACAGTTCTGAAATATTTCCTATTTCATATTCCATGTGAAATATTCAGTGAACATGCAACACATGTATGGCTGTGTAATAGTCACCTCAAATTTCACATCATAAAGCGAGCATACACTTTCTACCTCCAGTTCTCAGCCCTTACCTGTGAGCCTTCTATATATCCATTCTCTAGTGTTTAAACCAGAGATCTTTTAGGTATCTTCTTTCATCTCTCATATCTCAGTAATGGATCTGTCGGCAAATGCTATTGATTGTATGTTCAACACAGCAATAAATAGTCTCTTCTTCTGAATGATCTTCTTAGAATAAAAGTTAAATCATGTCAGTCTTCTGCCCAGAATCCTTAAATGTCATCTTCTCTAAGAAATGAAATCAAAGCCCTTATCAAGGACAACAAACTCACACCCCATTTCCTGACTTCATCTTCAAGCACTCTTCCACCTGCCCGCTGTGTTACAGCCACCCTCACCTACTGTTGTTTTGTCTGTGTGAAAGAAAAATATGTTAAAAACCCTCACTTCAAAAAAAAAATTCTGATCCTAAGTCTGCCACTTTCAATAGGTAAAATATTTGGTAAAATATCACTTTGATTTTCAGTTCCTCAAGTGTAAAACAGAATTAGCTGGATTGTGTGATCCAGTCATCTGTGTTTTATCAAACTTTACACCATTGCTTTGTTTTCTTTGGATCTAGAGCTTGAAGACCTGTATAGTTTTCACATATAAGTTTTATCTTTCTTTGCATGAAGTTTAGGTTCTTTATGGTCACAGTTGCAAAAAATAATATGCTTTTGATCCTAATTGATCTAGCTTAAAAGGGCAAAGTCTTGAAGCCTACAACCTTCAAAGCTAAACTTTTATTTTAAAAAATTGTAGTGAAAGGAAAATTACTTCAAAACACATGCTATATCCAAATAACAGTTGAGAAATATGCTGTTCAGAGCACAGGCCTTGGCTTTTTTGTTAGCTGGTCTGAGAAAAATTAAGTTTGTATGTATGTAAATCCGCTATACCACTGAGCACACTCACTGTAAAGTTCAGCTGGCTTTTTTTTTTAATTGTGATACTATTGATGAAGGAAACAGTATGTTTCCTTACACTTATACGAGCCCTCTTTGTGGAGCAAACATTTCACAGGCCACTCATTATTATCAGTAATTTATAGGTAGTAATTTACTGGTAGGCGGTATAACTTACTAATATTATCCAGAAGAATTCATTTTCCTTAGCTTGCTGAATACTTTAGTAGTTTTTTTAGCTCCGCTTCTGGTTTTTAATCAATAAGCATAACACTCCATTTATTATTCCTCAGTGGAAAACCTAACCAGTTTTATTATCAGTATTATGCAGATTTTCCAGCAGAAGAAAGAGAAAAGAAGTTGGCTTCCTGCTCAAGACACCGATTTCGCTACATTCCACCCAACACACCAGAGAATTTCTGGGAAGTTGGTTTTCCTTCTACTCAGACTTGTATGGAAAGAGGTGAGAGTATAGCTTACGACATTTTGGAACTCTTTAAAAAAATACTGTGTATAACATATATATACTCAAGTCTAAACATTAAACTTTTTCTTCATGGTTCTTTACCTTCTGCTATAAGTTGAGAGCCAGTTTTGTAGCACAAATACAGTTTCCTAAAGATAAAAGGTTTACGTTTAACTCTTCAAATAACTTCATTGGAATCATTGTTTGCAAGCATGTTAATGAACTGTGTATGTGTTAACCTGCTTTCTTTATCATTCAAATTTCGGAAAGTAATTTCTCTTCTGTCTAGTCATCGAGATGACTTTTAATAAAGTAACTTTACAAAAGTTGCCAAAGTTATATTGTTGAAAAGCATCTTTTTTTTTTAAAGAGGCTGCTGTGAATTTGGCTGTTAAAACTTCACTTATCAAGAATGCTAGTTATTTATAAACCACATTTGAGTAAAAAAGACTTTTGTTTGGAAAACTGTTAGCATGCAACTCACTCCTTCAAATACAGTGCTTATATTTAATAGAATTGAAGAACATATGCAGCTTTAAAGCTCCAAATTTTTTAGCCATAAGAAACTTTTCCAAAAGATGCAAAGTCTATTATAGCTGTTACCATACTTCCACTCTCCCTTTTAGCAGGTCCTCTTTGACGTGATGTCTCTGCTTGCTCATCAAATAGAATTAGTCTGGATATAGCCTGTGTTTGCACCCCTGATATGGTCTCAGGGTATGGCAGACACAGTCCTTCCTGAAAACTACATCATGGAGGAGACACCCTTAGGAGAATCAAATAGTCTGAAGAGTATAGGGACCATCTCATCTCATCGAATAGCTACTGAAAAAAAGTCTTCTTGATAAGCACCGAAATTTATCCTTATAATCGAAAGATCATGTTTAATACTTGTCCCCATTTGCACCCAATGGGAGGTAGAATAGGAAAGTGCCCAAGAGCCCCAGTTCTGGAGTGAGATGTTGGCAGAGTCCCCACTCACTTCCTTCCCAGCTCTAGGAACTTGAGCAAGTTATCAGACTTTCCTGGGTCTCCATAAGCTCAGCTGTGAAATAGGCGTAGTGGAAGCTACTGCAGAGGACTGTGAGTTATCCCAGACAGTGTTGTATGCAGCACATTTGATAAACGTCTGCTGTTATTTTTAGCACAAATGAGAAAACTGATGCTAAGTAGTAAAATCATTCATCATCACAAGCAGCTAATAGAAAAATCATGAGAACTTAAAAGGCATGACATGAGACAGATGTTGACTGGATATATGCTAAAATATGTATGTTGCAAATATAGTCTTCTGAATTTGTGATTTATTTTTAAGGTTACATTAAAGAAGACCTTGATCCTTGTCCTCGTCCAAAAAGACGGCAGCCTTACAATGCAGTGTTTTCTCCAAAAGGCAAAGAGCAGAAGACATAAATGTTGAAGCAAAAACAGAAGAGAGGATAATTTTCTTTTTAGTTATTTATAGTTAAAGTTGGTGTTAAACATTGATTTTTTTTTTGATCTTCTGTAAACTGGTTTAAAAATCATTTTTCTATTGAAAGTGTTTTTAAATGGCATTTACTCATCACACAGACAACTATTTAAAAATGTGGATAAGTTTATGTTGTATTTTCTTGCTTTTGCACCTTGTAAATAACGAGGTGCTTTTATTTTGCACTCTAAATTAAGAGTTGTTTATTACTTTATTTGGTAATACCTAATTACAATTTTGAAAATACAATAGTTGTAGTCTGATTTGTTTCCTCTCTTCTTTTTACTCCATCTTCCCTTGCTATTCACATTCAGCAGTGACTTCATGTTAACATTACAGATTTTTATTCTCCTATGTATATCATTCTAATACCCAACTTTCAAGTCTTTTTAAAAATGCTAAATTTTGAGTAGAATAACAGAGACAGAAGATAGGATAAGTGAGTTAGAAGATAAAATGGTGGAAATAAATGAAGCAGAGAGGAAAAAAGAAAAAAGAATCAAAAGAAATGAGGACAACCTCAGGGACCTCTGGGACAACGTGAAATGCCCCAACATTCGAATCATAGGAGTCCCAGAAGAAGAAGACAAAAAGGAAGGCCATGAGAAGTTACTCGAGGAGATAATAGCTGAAAACTTCCCTAAAATGGGGAAGGAAATAGCCACCCAAGTCCAAGAAACCCAGAGAGTCCCAAACAGGATAAACCCAAGGCGAAACACCCCAAGACACATATTAATCAAATTAACAAAGATCAAACACAAAGAACAAATATTAAAAGCAGCAAGGGAGAAACAACAAATAACACACAAAGGGATTCCCATAAGGATAACAGCTGATCTATCAATACAAACCCTCAGGCAAGAAAGGAATGGCAGGACATACTTAAAGTAATGAAAGAGAATAACCTACAACCTAGATTACTGTACCCAGCAAGGATCTCATTCAGATATGAAGGAGAACTTAAAAGCTTTACAGACAAGCAAAAGCTGAGAGAATTCAGCACCACCAAACCAGCTCTTCAACAAATACTAAAGGATCTTCTCTAGACAGGAAACACAGAAAGCTTGTATAAACGTGAACCCCAAACAACAAAATAAATGGCAACGGGACCATACCTATCAATAATTACCTTAAATGTAAATGGGTTGAATGCCCCAACCAAAAGACAAAGGCTGGCTGAATGGATACAAAAGCAAGACCCCTATATATGCTGTCTACAAGAGACCCACCTCTAAACAAGGGACACATACAGACTAAAAGTGAAGGGCTGGAAAAAAATATTCCATGCAAACAGAGACCAAAAGAAAGCAGGAGTTGCAATACTCATATCAGATAAAATAGACTTTCAAATAAAGGCTGTGAAAAGAGACAAAGATGGACACTACATAATGATCAAAGGATCAATCCAAGAAGAAGATATAACAATTATAAATATATATGCACCCAACATAGGAGCACCGCAATATGTAAGGCAAACGCTAACGAGTATGAAAGAGGAAATTAATAGTAACACAATAATAGTAGGAGACTTTAATACCCCACTCACAACTATGGATAGATCAACTAAACAGAAAATGAACAAAGGAAACACAAACTTTAAAGGACACAATGGACCAGCTAGACCTAATTGACATCTATAGGACATTTCACCCCAAAACAATCAACTTCACCTTTTTCTCAAGTGCACATGGAACCTTCTCCAGAATAGATCACATCCTGGGCCATAAATCTAGTCTTGGTAAATTCAAAAAGATTGAAATCATTCCAGTCATCTTTTCTGACCACAGTGCAGTAAGATTAGATCTCAATTACAGGAAAAAAAACTATTAAAAATTCAAACATATGGAGGCTAAACAACACGCTTCTGAATAACCAACAAATCATAGAAGAAATAAAAAAAGAAAATATGCATAGAAATGAATGAAAATGAAAACACAATAACCCAAAACCTATGGGACACTGTAAAAGCAGTGCTAAGGGGAGGATTCATAGCATTACAGGCCTACCTCAAGAAACAAGAAAAAAGTCAAATAAATAACTCTACACCTAAAGAAACTAGAGGAGGAAGAAAATGAAGAACCCCAGGGTTAGTAGAAGGAAAGAAATCTTAAAAATTAGGGCAGAAATAAATGCAAAAGAAACTAAAGAGACCATAGCAAAAATCAACAAAGCTAAAAGCTGGTTTTTTGAAAAAATAAACAAAATTGACAAACCGTTAGCAAGACTCATTAAGAAACAAAGGGAGAAGAACCAAATTAACAAAATTAGAAATGAAAATGGAGAGATCACGACAGACAACACTGAAATACAAAGGATCATTAGAGACTACTACCAGCAGCTCTATGCCAATAAAATGGACAACTTGGAAGAAATGGACAAGTTCTTAGAGAAGTATAACTTTCCAAAACTGAACCAGGAAGAAATAGAAGATCTTAACAAACCCATCACAAGCAAGGAAATCGAAACTGTAATCAGAAATCTTACAGCAAACAAAAGCCCAGGACCAAATGGCTTCACAGCTGAATTCTACCAAAAATTTAGAGAAGAGCTAACACCTATCTTACACAAACTCTTCCAGAAAATTGCAGAAGGTAAACTTCCAAACTCATTCTGTGAGGCCACCATCACCCTAATTCCAAAACCAGACAAAGATGCCACAAAAAAAGAAAACTACAGGCCAATATAACTGATGAATATAGATGCAAAAATCCTTAAAATTCTAGCAAACAGAATCCAACAACATATTAAAAAAATCATACATCATGACCCAGTGGGCTTTATCCCAGGAATGCAAGGATTCTTTAATATCTGCAAATCAATCAATGTAATACACCACATTAACAAATTGAAAGATAAAAACCATATGATTATCTCAATAGATGCAGAAAAAGCCTTTGACAAAATTCAACATCCATTTATGATTAAAACTCTCCAGAAAGCAGGAATAGAAGGAACATACCTCAACATAATAAAAGCTATATATGACAAACCCACAGCAAGCATCACCCTCAATGGTGAAAAATTGAAAGCATTTCCCCTGAAATCAGGAACAAGACAAGGGTGCCCACTCTCACCACTACTATTCAACATAGTTTTGGAAGTGTTGGCCACAGCAATCAGGGCAGAAAAAGAAGTAAAAGGAATCCAGATAGGAAAAGAAGAAGTGAAACTCTCGCTGTTTGCAGATGACATGATCCTCTACATAGAAAACCCTAAAGACTCTACCAGAAAATTACAAGAGCTAATCAATGAATACAGTAAAGTTGCAGGATATAAAATTAACACACAGAAATCTCTTGCATTCCTATGCACTAACAATGAGAAAACAGAAAGAGAAATTAAGGAAACTATACCATTCGCCATTGCAACAAAAAGAATAAAATACTTAGGAGTATATCTACCTAAAGAAACAAAAGACCTATACATACAAAACTATAAAACACTGATGAAAGAAATCAAAGAGGACACAAACAGATGGAGAAATATACCGTGTTCGTGGATTGGAAGAATCAATATTGTCAAAATGGCTTTACTACCCAAAGCAATCTATAGATTCAATGCAATCCCTATCAAACTACCAACGGTATTTTTCACAGAACTAGAACAAATAATCTCACAATTTGTATGGAAATACAAAAAACCTCGAATAGCCAAAGTAATCTTGAGAAAGAAGAATGGAACTGGAGGAATCAACCTGCCTGACTTCAGACTATACTACAAAGCCACAGTCATCAAGACAGTATGGTACTGGCACAAAGACAGAAATATAGATCAATGGAAGAGAATAGAAAGCCCAGAGATAAATCCACGAACCTATGGTCACCTTATCTTCGACAAAGGAGGCAAGGATATACAATGGAAAAAAGACAACCTCTTTAACAAGTGGTGCTGGGAAAACTGGTCAACCACCTGTAAAAGAATGAAACTAGAACACTTTCTAACACCATACACAAAAATAAACTCAAAATGGATTAAAGATCTAAATGTAAGACCAGAAACTATAAAACTCCTAGAGGAGAACATAGGCAAAACACTCTCCAACATAAATCACAGCAGGATCCTCTATGACCCACAGCCCAGAATTTTAGAAACAAAAATAAACAAATGGGACCTAATGAAACTTAAAAGCTTTTGCACAACAAAGGAAACTATAAGCAAGGTGAAAAGACAGCCCTCAGATTGGGAGAAAATAATAGCAAATGAAGCAACAGACAAAGGATTAATCTCAAAAATATACAAGCAACTCCTCCAGCTCAACTCCAGAAAAATAAATGACCCAGTCAAAAAATGGGCCAAAGAACTAAACAGACATTACTCCAAGGAAGACATACAGATGGCACAAAAACACATGAAAAGATGCTCAACATCACTCATTATCAGAGAAATGCAAATCAAAACCACAATGAGGTACCATTACAGGTCAGTCAGGATGGCTGCTATCCAAAAGTCTACAAGCAATAAATGCTGGAGAGGGTGTGGAGAAAAGGGAACCCTCTTACACTGTTGGTGGGAATGCAAATTAGTACAGCCATTATGGAAAACAGTGTGGAGATGTGGAGATTTCTTAAAAAGCTGGAAATAGAACTGCCATATGACCCAGCAATCCCACTTCTGGGCATACACACCGAGGAAACCAGATCTGAAAGAGACACGTGCACCCCAATGTTCATCGCAGCACTGTTTATAATAGCCAGGACATGGAAGCAACCTAGATGCCCATCAGCAGACGAATGGATGAGGAAGCTGTGGTACATATACACCATGGAATATTACTCAGCCATGAAAAAGAATTCATTTGAATCAGTTCTAATGAGATGGATGAAACTGGAGCCCATTATACAGAGCGAAGTAAGCCAGAAAGATAAAGACCATTACAGTATACTAACACATATGTATGGAATTTATAAAGATGGTAACGATAGCCCTATATGCGAAACAGAAA